CTCGCGTGTGTGGTAGCCGTCTAGACAGTGCTGTTTTATATTCAATGCACACGATTCCGAAAAGGATAATTATTTATCAAACATAATGAATTAAAATTTCATTCGGTAATATGCCAGATTAAAATACACATTTGGATAGTTTGATTAGAGTTCCATTCATCGTATTCGAGTGATGCATATCGAAGGGTTAACGAACTTGCGTACAAAACGCATTTTATTAAATGTTATTGTTATTGCAATAAGGCGTTACAATTGATTTGATCCAGTTCCTTATGTAGCGAGGCGGTTTTGTAAATTGTATTCGTACTGCTAATGAGTTTGATATACATAAATCAATTTACGTTGTACAAGTGCGAGCGTGCGGTCGGTCCTGTGTTATTTGGTAAATTGGTAACTAACTGTTGAACCACATTCGGTCTCGGTTTAGGCAATAAAACATACAAACTAATATTGTACATTCGAAAGTAATTCTGTCGGTCCGTCTGTCTTTTCTTTACGCCTAAACTACTGAACCAATTTCTGTGAAATTTGGTACAGACATAGTTTGAAACTCGCGAAAGGACATAGGATGGTTTTTATACCAAATAAATGCAGGAAGTCATTATTCAACGCGAACGAAGTCGCGGGCAAATGCTAGTATTATCATATTAATTTAAACTTATCTTGAAATAAATAAGCAACAATAAGTGTAATCTTGTACTGTAGTATACGTAATTGTATCCTATTTATATGGTAAGTATAACTAAAATGTTTCAGTAACGTTCCTACTTAAATAATAATTTTCCTGTCAGCAGAGATTCGAAATATGTAATAAATTTTAACATTTTTTTTAACAGATAGCGCGTCTGTTTGTGAAATATCAAAACTTGTTTATTTGTATAATTTATTTACTGTAATTGCCTAGGACGAGAAAAATAATTTGATTATCTTTCCCCACCAAAATATTCCCCTATTTCATATGAACTGGCAAAAAACCTTAGTGCAACAGAAGGCGCGATGTTTTATTTATTATGTAAACTTTAAAAAACCTTCCATTTTCTATGTGACGCGATTAGTTTCGTTGTTTTAACGTCATTTGCACGTAATGCGAACCTTTTGTTTTTTTTCAATGACACGAATGGTTTAGTCTTGGCAGTAGCCAGTGTTTAAAAATTTACTTTTTACGAAATTATAAAATACACTGTAAGAGGTGAGCAAGGTGAGTGAGGTGACTTCCCAAGAGATTTTATTTTCATTTTCGTTTCTCTAAATTTATTTACATTTAGATTTCAATACAAACCTAACGTATAAAAACTTCTTTGAACATATTTTTTTATTCTACAACAGGTTTAAAATTAGAACGTTGTAGAAAAATTCTTAAAGTTCCGTTAAATATTCACAATTATTAATTTGAAATTTATCGAACGCCTAGTGGGTTGCTGTGGTGTTAAGTCAACGGTACGTTTTTTTTCTTGTAATACTCGATTAACAGTAACTAAGATGTCACTCTTGACAAAACGATTGTTGGTCAATGTCCCACCGCGAGCGGTAGCGGGTAATAAATAATATAAGGAAAAAACCTATTGTTTTGGCTCCAATAACTGGGAAATACCAGAGTCGGTGTAAAAATAATAAGGAAAAAACATGAGTATACATAATACACCATTTTAACATTAAATTTGCACCGTATTAGAATGTTTATTATCTAATCTAATAGCGTAATAATTTTCGATGGGGATTACATAGAGGTGCCCATACATAACATGTCTTTTTGATGTTGAGGGTGGCTGTCTGCGGGCTGCGCCATTTGCTTACCATCAGGTTATATCGTCTGTACGTTTGGTGTCCCATATAAAGTAGCAGTAAACCGCCAGTCGTGTGTTCCATGTAATGGAGACTTGAAGAGAGAGCTTATTGACGTACACTGGGCAAAATTATTACCCGAATTGTTCATCGTTATTCAATGAGAAAGCCTCTACTGAACCGGGAATCACACTCTTGACAACTTGGTCGGTGTTTTAATTCATCAAAAGGTTATATATATGTTACTGTAAAAGCTCGAACTACGGTAAATCTTAAGATTTAAGTGTAAGTCTTAGGATTTACCGACATGAGTTGGTAAATGTAAGTATTTCTGAAGATACGACGATGTTTTCGAGCTTTTACCATTCGAATTCAGTATATGCTAGGTTTTACCACTGTCAGTTGGTAGATGTTGGTTTTAGGAATAAAACAATGATTAATTCTTAATTATTTACTTTGAACTATTAGACAAAACAGGTAAATAGTAATATAAAGGTATCATAATGATAATAATAAGTACAAACTAATACATACCAACTTATTTAAATTATTCTGAAAAAACCCATAACGTATATCTCTGAATATCTCAATCTCTATCATATGTAACTGAATCAGTACTTCTCTATTTGTAATTTAACGCCGACATACAAACATAATGAATGCTTACAAAAGCTAGTCAAACTTAATTTTTTTTTTATTATTTGGTTTAAAAGTAAACAAAGACAATCAAATGTGATTGATTAATAGGTAAGGTACCTAAAAAAACATTTCACTTGTTACAACAAGGATTGCTGCTGTGGCATTTAGAATTACAAAGTAATCCTGATGATCTGCAGGTGCATTTTTTCATCGAGCATTTTTTTTTTGACAATTACATTTTTTGAATCCTTGTCCTCCAGTTAACGACAATTTTCCGACAACTTCTCGAAGACCACAGAGTATAGTAATATTTCGAAGACTCACTTCTTTATCCGTAACAATTTCTTCTATCTTTATAAAATCTTCGCAAGCTACAAGTCGATGCGCTGAGCACGTTATGACATGTTTTGTTTTTCAACATTTACCGTGCCCTTAATGTAAATCCTAAGATTTACCAACGGAATGGTAGTAAAAGTTCGAATCGCAAATCTTTTGGGACATTTACCATTAGGAATTGGTAAATCTTAGGTTTTACTGGAATATCTTAGGATTTACTGCAGTTCGAGCTTTTACAGTAACATATACACACTAAAATACCTAGGTACTTATTTCAAAGGAAGTGATTCAACGTTATTCAATAGTGGTTATAGAAGTATGCCTAGGTTAGTTATTATATGTTTTATGTGACGATTGTACCAATGATATTGTTAATTTGATCAATGAATCCATTGACTCAGTTTCTATTCATCGCATCCATTTTCATGTGACACTATACTCGTAAATATTATTAATTCAATATTACAGTTGTAGGTAACATGTCCCCAGTTGGGTGAAATGTTTTATTAATTACCTGTAGGAAAATAATATGATAGTAATTTATTTTGTACCGGTTTAAACTGACCGTTCAATGAACGGAAAGCAAGATTACAATATATGTATTTTTTGCGGTAGGAAAATTGTTAAGTTAATTAATTCTTTCGCTCTGGGTGTTGCGAGAGCGAGTGCCACATACTCTTACTGATTAAAAATCATCTTTACTCCTGCTCTTATTCGGAGCAGGGACATCAGTACATTATTGGCATACACGCAGCCCCGATTGGGTATCTATGTATGTGTAGTCATCATATGTACCTACGTTAGTACACGTTAAATTTGGGTAGTTTCCTAGGTCAAAAATAAATTATTTCGACGTTTCAATAAAATAAGTTTTAAGTTAATTTTAAGTGTGGGAGAGCCATGCTTCGGCACGAATGGGTCGGCTCGGCCGGAGTGATACCACGGCCTCACAGAAAACCGGCGTGAAACAACCACAACGTTGTGTTTCGCCGTGTGAGTGAGGTTACCGGAGGCCCAATCCTTCCCCTACCCCAATCCCTTCCCAGTCCCAAAATCCCAATCCTTAAATGGTCGGCAACGCACTGGTAACTCCTTCTTTGTTGCGGGTGTCCATGGGCGGCGCTGATTGCTTACCATCAGGTAATCCGTCTGCTCGTTTGCCGTCCTATCACATAAAAAAAAATTGAAAAATAACTATAGGTACTTTTATTCATCGATCGATCGATACATTGAATTTCAGATATTTTTAGCTAGTTTTTAAGAAAAAGGTAAACTATTTGACGCAAAAAACTATGACGTCATAACTCAGTTTTTCATAGAAATTTCATAGAAAAGTATCGTTATTGAAATTTGATTAGTTGGAAACTATACCGTATTATGCAAGAACTTTAATGCGAGTTTATAAATTGCCAATAACGGTACAATTTGAGTACGCAGCGATGTTATTGTCGACGACATCTTAAATTGTATTGACGTATTCGAGGGTCAATTTATAATTAAGACGTTTCACTTTTTTGTTAGATGACGTAACCTTATTTAAACAAATGTTCGATATACTTCCGTGAGACCAATGTCTCGTCACTAAATAAATTTAAGAATCGGAGAGAGTTTTAATGTGGCCTAGATTCGTATATCGTTTTCATAAATTGAAAATTGTTCAGTTTTTGCATTGATATGAAGGAGATACTAAATCAGCTATTTCACATTTATCATAGATCAGCGATTGAGTAAAATTTACAAGGAATTATTTAAATACTTCCTTTACCATCAAATTTTTTTATTACAGTCGACGTCATAGCATATCCTATATGTGCAGTCTAGTCTAGTATTGGTAATGTAAGAATTGTCGTTATTTCTACCGATAAACCACGGAGACAGGTTGCGCCATAATTCACTGGGCATGCACCGGTGACGCAACCTACGAGTAACAGTCGAGTGCAGTGCCAATCGTGTATCATTGTCACTGACACACCTATTCGATACTACAACTAACTAATTACCAGATGTTATATCGTTCATTGTAAAAATGACTCATTACTTTCAATTTAATAGCCTCGTGTAAGTCAACTGAGAGGTTGCCACAAATGAGTCGAGAGAATATAGTGAATATACATTACCTGGGTATTTAATAATTAATTGAGCTTCAATCGATATCAATAGACTTTTATCACTATTCTACATGTGTTATTCTACAAAATGTCAACGTCTTTTTACAATTATGAATTAAATTCGTTCATTTACAGGGAGATGGCCTCGAGTGTCCGCTATGCCTGTCTGTGTTCAACTCGGCGGCGATGGAGCGGCTCGCATGGTGTTCACACCGGTGCTGCGAGCCCTGCTTACGACAATACCTCGCCATCGAGATCTTCGAAGCGAGGGTCCCAGTTAACTGCCCAGTTTGCCACGAGAGCATGCACCCCTCAGGTATCTTCAAATTTTACTTGCATACCAGCACTAGATTATGGCACTACATCTATTTATAAAAACAGATAAAACATTAATACCTTTACATAAAGTGAGTCGACGTTCCCACTATAAGCCCGGAACCCAGTTTCGACTATAAATATTGATATCCAACTTGAATTGTGTAATAAATACACCAATTGGCCTTAATTTACTAGTGGCGCCTTTAAAATGCAAATTACTTTCATTATCTAACGTGTATCGACCTCTTTACATAGCTAAGTAAAGATTTATCTGAATGTATCATTTGTGTAATATGTACCTTACTTAAATGTGGGTATACAAAATATTCAGCCGAATTATTCAAAGAATTTACATTCGTCATCTCAATTCCTGGTAACATTGTAAGTCTACAAAAGGAGGGAAATGAATGTAGTAACTTTGTTCCTCGACTTGCGGCTTCCAATAAAAGCACCGCAATATAAGTTGTTGCCGCTAATTCGAATAGTTTGTCTTGCCGAGTTTCAACACGATTGGCTTACAAACTTTGGGAATCAGAGTTTAGACTCTGTAACTGGATTTGTTCACAGCGTGCACTGTCACATGAGATTACAATTAAACTAGTTTCTGTCAGAACCGCTTCATTCGCAGATAAATAAAGAGCCTGCGTTATCACAGGATATGTACATCCATTTCTTTGCCAAATTTAATTTAAGATCTGTTTAGTAGTTTTTATGCAAAGGATCTTCGAATATCCATCCGTCCTCATCAATCAGTTTATCCATTCATCCAACCATACCTATAAAGTGTAATACGATATGTTAGGATGCTTAGCTTGAAATGATCATGCAATGCCTTAATTAGAATGCAGATACCATATAATTTAGCTTGCGTCGTACACGAATAGGCCAGCTTTTTTCAAAGATTAAATACTTTTATACTTTTGCTAGTTATTATCATGTAGAGAGATGTCGTTGAACAATGATCCAGGAGTCATTAACAGCTGCCAATGATTCAGTTAATAGAATTTGGAAAAAAAGAAATCTAATATTTTCCAATAAGTGTTGATGTAGTGCTCACAGATACACTAACAGCCGAATCAATTTGGCAATCCTAATCGAAAATATCTAAATCGATCTCGTTTTTTATTAATGTGAGAAATCAGTATTAGTTTGCAGATTTTCGATTTAATTCGCATCTTTGAATTTGATTATAAGTTCAGTGCCTCTACCTAATGCGAGTTTACTTAAAGTTAAGACGATCAACGCGTTTGTGACGTTCGGCGTTATGATTGGCCTGCTCAAAGTCAATCAATCAGAGGGCTAGATGTAGTAACGTTTTGATTGTCTTAACTTAAACCAAACCCGTACTAGTAACTCTATGTAAATGTACCTATGTAATATGTATGTGTGCCGAACTGCTGACTGGTTTCATGGACATATTGACATCGTAAACGTTTTTCCCTTACTCTGATGTAGTGACGTCAAAGTAGAGTAGTTAAGTATGCAAACTGGGCCATAAAGCTGTAAGACGTGTTAATTGAAATTCTAGTGTGCCTACATTATTCTAGGATTTAGTTTTATAATCATGATGTCATGATGCCAGACGACTATGGCCCTTAAGTTGAGCAGACCTGTACTTACATATTTTTTAAATAAAAATAAAATATATAGGCTCGGGTTATTCTTGGGTTTTTCTTGCATAGTAACAAAATTAAGTACTTGATTTGAAAATATACTCAAAAATACATGTAGTGAATACATCCGCAAATATGATTTTGTTTTCCTCTCATATTACACACGTGTACCTATCATTTTGTTTTGCCACAAAAGCTAAACAGTGACACACGAGTGGATACCTACTATTTATCATACAACAGTTACGTTGAATAACTGTTCTGAGAACGATAAAAAATATAATTATAGGAACTGTTAAGGCAAAAGCTGACGAGTCATAAAAAGTATTTCTGTGTCAAGTGAGTGTCGCAAGAGATGTATTTAATGTAGTAATTGCTCAACGGTAGGGCTGCGGGTAATACTTGAACTTAACGCACACAATCAGTACCCATACATATGTACGTAGGTCTCGTAGGTACAAACTACTTACGTACACTCGAACAGCAGTCATGTTTTTCCTTATTTAAAAAACACTCTCAAATACACCCTCATCGTATATCTCAAATAGTTTTTTTTATAAAATGGCGAATCGAACTCGAGTGTGTCTACTCTAGCATAATTTTTGCTTCGATTGAATAAAAAAGTGCCATCAGCTATCATTGTTCAATATCCTCATGAGTTTATTTTTCTTAAACACAATTTGGCTCACAAACTGGCTCGTACGCCTTGCTTTGAAATAAATCGGGGTCACTTTTTAATAATAAAAATAATGCGAGCTTTAATTTGTCTGCAGTCATGCTTACTGATATTGCTCTTAAATTTTAATAACCTATCATGGATATTTAATGTATTCTTTACAGGTTGTTATATGGTTTATTGGTTTTAATAAAAATAAGTACAAAACACAGAATCTGCGTGTTTATGTATTGTAAATTGTATAGAAATGGCGGGCACGTTTATAGACGCAGTTTTATAGACTTCTCAGACGTCTGTGTTCGTAATTAACGGAAAATATTAACTTGAAGCTGCAATCACACGTGTTTATGTATACAATGTCGTGGTGGCCCGGAGGTTAAGGCGCCCGCTTCTCATGCACGAAAGTCCGGGTTGGAAACCTAGCAAGTACCAATGTGACTTATTCCGTTATATGTAGATACGTTGTACTATTATTTAGACACCACTGACATACGGTGAAGGAAAACATTGTGAGGAAACCTGGTCTTGTAATTTCTACTTAGGTATAAAATCGTCAATCCGCCTTGGGCAAGTGTGGTGATTGATGGTCATTCCTTCTCCGTGTGAGAAGAGGCATTTGTTCAGCAGTGGGAACTTATATGCTGTTTACAATGTACAGTACATGTGCCTATAACAAAAGCTCGTTCGTTATTGGAATTGAAAGATTTGCGCGAGATCACAAATATGTATGTAGGTTCAATAATGTAACCAAAATAGCTCTAATATAATTCAAGATCATGTATTGTAAATGCGGAGTTGATCCCCCAATTTAGAACTACCTAATAGGACCGATGTTATGAACATATCGACTCTTTATATATTTGTTTGATACATTGTACAAAAAATGAGAGAAGTGCCCTATTGAAGATAATGTTTGCTCAAAATACCCAGCCGTAATGATCCTCGACATAAGGACATGTTTACTGCTAAACCCGAGACACCCACGCGTACCTACATATTTCCTTTTCGTAGAAACTCTAATGTTTTAATTGTAGCTCATTTTATAGGATTCCCATTCAGTAAATTTTATTTTGCTGGATTTCGATTTAAGCGTTTTAAAAATGGCAGGCACGCAGTTTTGTAGACTACCCTAACTTTAACTATACACCACGGAGTGTTTACTTGGCAAAGCAGGGAACTTACTTGAAAAGTAATTATGAGGCTTTGAGTTGTTCGACTTTCCTGTGACTTTAAATTTAAGAGGGTTAGAACTCTATTCATGTAAAGTTAATTTGATGTGATAAGACTTCTGGCAGAGACAACGACTTCATTTTGTAATCGTCGCCCTTGATATTCCCCTCGTTTAGGGAGATGTCTAGTACACTTTGTCAATTATATCACTTATATATTAATTCTGTGTAATGGGGACAAGTCGCGGAGAATTCGCAGTAAAAAGTATTAGGTACTTGATCAACATCAAACCCTCTATCGCAAAACATTTCCCAGAAATAACGGAAATCGATATCCTTCGTCCCAGAGAATTTTGCGATCTCGGGTATTTTGATATTAGGTAGTTACATTCAATTTCGAGATGCTTTAATAAATTTATTGGTAGTGAAAGTGCCTATTATATTCATTTTGTTGATAACAGAACCAATGGACATAATTTTGTTAATTTTTGATATCAATGCAATTGTATCTGGGTTCTTATTACTCTACAGTCTATTAAATTGAAAATGCTTTAGATTAGAAAGCAAAAAAAAACAGTTGAATGTTCCTTTTTTAAATCATAATATGACTTCTCTCGCCTAGCGTGTGGCGAGAGAGAGTGTCTGACTCTTACTGACTAAAAACCACTCCGTTCCTTCCCCTGCTCCAGACGGAGGCCGCGGTACCTTATTTACCTACAACCCCAGTTAACATATTATACATAAATATTGTTATCCTACATCTTGAGCTAATTTGTAAGTTCGTATGTAGGGGGTAATCTTTGTAACCGCGGGTCGGATTTCCAAAATTCTTTCACTGATAAATAGCTACAATATTCCTGAGTGCTATAGGCTATAAAACATCACCCTGCGATCTGTAGGAGCTGAGCAGCGGGTTGAAACCGCGGGAGAGTAGGTAGTCTAAATATATAAAAGGAGAAAGTGACTGACTGACTGACCTATCAACGCACAGCCTAAACGGCTAAACGTAAACACTTGAAATTTGGAAGGATCGTAGCTTAGGTACCGTAAAGGTGCACTACCTAAGAAATGAATTCTCGAAATTCACATGGGAGCTACAATACGTATATTTTAGTCGAGCTATCGCTTTTAACGGTTTTTTTTTAAATAACAGTGTTTAAACATGCAGGCGGAAGATAGTCTCGTCTTTTAGATATTCCTTATGAGACTACTATGCACCTTCCACACGAAGTCAAGACCACTCATAACGCTGTAATTATCATGGTATCTAATTATCTAGTTATCTGCCATGCGATCGTAAAGCGTGACGTATGACATAACTAGAGTTCCTTGTCAACCACTTAGTAATAGGTCCAGTCATTACGTGTTACGGTCCATGTTAATTGTATTTTGTTAGTGTAATAGTTTTGTGCCAGCTTGTGGTCGGTCGACCTCTATAGCCTTCTCTTTCTCATATCATTTTAATTAATCTTGTAATTTTTCTGCTTAAAAATCGTGCTAAATATTGTCTAGTTTTTTTTTATTGTTTGATTTTCTCCAGTGTCGTGGGTGCTGTACAAACATTCAATTTAACGTAACACCCAGAACAACGCAACAATTTTATTCCTCTGATAACATTTATCTAACCATTGAAAAAGTAACCTTAATCCGAATAAAATTAATTTACGCGGGTCAGCGATACTTCTGTTTTTTTAAGTAGGTATACGTTTCGGCCATTGGTATAGACCAATATTAAATTTCTTATCATTATTTCGTAATTCCTCATTCCATTACAATACTTTCCACCCGCATTCAATATCAAATCAATTCATAAGATGATTAAAAATATCGTTTGATTTCAGACGTTCGTCGCATAGTAGACAACCCGGTGCTGTACGAGAAGTATGAAGAGTTCTCAGTGAGACGCGCGCTCGCTGCCGACCCTGACACACGGTGGTGCCCCGCGCCCGACTGCAGGTACCTCTCATGAAGTCACATCTTTAAAAGAGAAAATGTAGTATTACTCTGTATTACTCATCATACAGGTCAGCTCTGTGACCTATGGAGTTAAGCTAACTACTAGCGGTCGCCCGCGGCTCCGCCCGCGTCGGATTCGGTAATTTTTAGCCACTCAGGAACATTGTAGCTACTCGTATCGTATCTTTCAGTAAAAGAATTTTAGAAATCCGACCAGTGGTTCCAATTTTTTCCCCCTACAAACGAACTTACAAATTTTACCTCTTTATAATATTAGTAAAGATGTGTTGAGACTAATTTTACTGAATAGACATGATTATGAATAACGAATGAGAAATTCTTGGTTTGAAAGATTTGCATGGAAATCAATGGCTTTTGTAAATTTTGTAGCTTCGCGGTGGTTGCGACGGGCTGCGCGTCGTGCCCGAAGCTGACATGCCTGGCGCCGGGGTGCGGCGCGTCCTTCTGCTACCACTGCAAGGCGGCGTGGCACCCCACGCAGACCTGCGACGCCGCGCGCCGCAGCCGGGCCCCGCCACCGCGAGCCCCACAACCCTCCCATCCTGACATTGACCATGGTATGTTTACACAGCACTAACATCTAACAGAAACATTAGTACGGTGAAGTGGTGAATACATGTTGACGAATTTTCCTTGTATCTATTCACCCCTCTTCTGTCTCTATTCACCCCTCGAATTCTGTTCACTCCGTTTCACGGTAACATCTTTGTCTTCAGATTAAAATATTGCGACAGAAATGCTTGCACGTTTTAACTGTTTATTCCTGAGCAAACGTGGGTACTTACTTCTTCTTGTGCCTTTTAATTTTTTTTGTTATGAATGCTAATAGTTAATATGCAATTTGCAGGTGACGTAAAGCCATGCCCGCGATGTTCCGTACTAATAGTGAAGGTAGAGGACGGCTCCTGCAACCACATGGTGTGCTGCGTCTGTGGCGCGGAGTTCTGTTGGCTGTGTATGAAGGAGGTTTCAGACTTACATTATTTAAGGTGAGTTATCAGATACTGCGGAATTATTCATTTTATTTTGGAGACGTTGACATTAATCAGATCATTTAAATGAGATGTTTTATTGTAACTTCTAATGAAATTGTTAGCAAGGTACTAATAGTAACTGGCATGGTTTACAGCCCTAGCGGATGTACATTCTGGGGCAAAAAGCCTTGGTCCCGGAAGAAGAAGTTGTTGTGGCAGCTGGGCACGCTGGCGGGCGCGCCGCTGGGCATCGCGGTGGTGGCGGGCGTGGCGCTGCCGGCGCTGCTGGTGGGGCTGCCGCTGTGGGCCGGGCGGCGCGCGCACCGCCGCCTGCGCCGCGCCACGCCCGCGCGCCGCCGCGCCGCCGTCGCCGCCGCCGTCGCCGCCGCGCTGCTCGTGTCGCCGCTCGTGGCCGGCCTGGCCGTCGGCATCGGCGTGCCCATCCTGCTCTTCTACGTGTACGGCGTCGTGCCGGTGTCGCTGTGCCGCGCGGGGGGCTGCGCCGGCGGGCCTCCGCCCCCGCCCGCCGCGCACTTCGACGACGAGCGCGACCACGCTCCCGACCAAGACGCCGCTTCGCGACGACTTGAACCCAGTATAGGTAATCTATTTACCTACTGTCTAAAATAACATCAGAATAAAAGCTGACTCCATGTTGTACAAATTACTCAATTTGGTATTTTATTTCAAAATATCGTATTGCCATTTACCGACTCGTCTTAAATAATTAGTTGCCTTTATGTGCATGTTTCCAACCAGATTTTAGTAACTTATTATTTTGAATACTTGCAGGTGATGCATCTCTATCGGCGGGGTCCCACCACGCGGAGGTACGCGCGCCGTCCCTGGCAGCGCTGGCGGGGTCCCTGGGCGGGCACGAGACGCACTCGCCGGCGGCGCACCGGCTGGAGGTGACGGCGGACGTGGCGGCGTCGGACACGGCGAGCGCGGCCAGCTGGCCCGACGAGCTGCCGTCCACGTCGTCCCGCTCGGCGCGCCTGCGCAGCCTGTTCCTGTACGGCTCGGCCGTGCCGCCGCCGGACCCCGAGGCCGGCACGTCGGCGGCGCCGGGGCCGGCCGCGGCCGCGCCGCCCGCCGAGCTGAGCACGGCGTGCGAGACGCGCGCGCCGCGCTCGCCCAGCCCGGGCGCGGCCGGGGACGGCGCGTAACGAAGCAGTGCGCGGGACCCGCCGACCTCCGTATTTTCGATTGATTTATTGTACGACGATGTACGTCCGTAATACGTATTAGAAGTGCCGCGGCGCGCCGTTGTATTGTATTCGCACTTGTCCGTCCGGCGTAAGTCCTCATCCCAACTTTGATTTAAAGTTTTGTGCCAATCGCGTGTGATTATCTAGTACTTTGAAGCGACTCTGTGATTTAATTATTTGATAAATGTAGCGAGTTTTCGAAGTAAAATAATAACCGGAGTCCATGATAGCGATCCTGGGAGGTGGCAGTCCTACATATACGATAGATGCTTCGCGCTTTCAGAGCAGTGTTACTCTATCCAATATTTGTGATACTTTGAATAATAATTACTATTAATGATCTAAATTATTTAATTTTTCACGTTTGTAGGCGAAAAATAATCTTAAGCGATAATAATTATGTTATGTGAATCTATAAAATGTAAACTACGATTAAAATGTGATTTAAATTTATTTGTTGTTTTATTACTTCACTCATCATCGATGGAAAACTAGATCCAGATGGACGCTTCAATAACTGGACATTTTATTACATCAAAACACTTCCGCCGACCTCTCAATAATCTATTTTTTTAAAGTGGATGTTTTTTAGTATTTAAAGGAAAATTATATGTATTTTTGGGAGACTGCAGAAGGACAAGTTAGTATATGACCAGACATGTTTTTTTATGAGTAGCCTCATTGCAAGCGAAGGCAAGTCCCATCCAAAAACAATCGATACGCAATTACGTGAGAATTTTCAAGAAGTTCCTTCTTTGAGCAGTCGTGTAAAAACACTCTCGTGTCTCAGATTCCAGGCGCGACCTTTGTCTCCACATTTTACAAAAGGGCTCACTTTTTCCTTCGTCGTTCCCTCCATTTTTCAATTAGCAATTTTCTTCACAGAAGATAGTACAGGTACAGTAATACTAGTACGAAAAGTTATTTTTTAGCTAGGAACATTCGTTATGTAAACTTGCGAGTTTTCCGACTTCATTGAATACGATTAGTCCTAATCTTTAAATGCTTTTGAGGATGGCATAAAGGCACTCTAATTTGGAGATAATATTTTCTGAATAAAAAAGAAACGTTCTTAAAGTCTAAAAATGTAAACATGTTGGAGATTAGGGAGAATCTCTTTTGATTTCCAGATGTGTAAGCTTTAAAATTATTGTCATCGTAATAAAATCAAAGTTTTTTTATTATTTCGATATATTGCACTTTTTCTCGTCAAGAATATCTTAAGCTAGATGAAGTCCATATTTCCAACAGATACACAGATAAGAAGAAATAAACTTACAAAGTGCGCATAAAATATAATCACTAGTTGGGTAATAATATACAGACCAGTAGGTACAAACCGTATACTGTAGGAATGCGCGTCCGTTCAATATTCGCCCGCACTCGACGTCAATTATTGAAGAAGTGAATTTACTTGGTCGAGCGAAGATAGAGCGCTAGATTTCCGACAATTACTTGATTGCGATATTAATTCTTGTTTATGAAAAATTTAGACGAAAGGGGTCTATCTATTAGAGTGCAAAAATAAATTTAAATATTTGCTCTCCTCGGAAGAGAATTTGCTACCAGTGTCTATAAGGGGGTAAGAAAATAAAGAACAAACACAAATATTTGCATGATTATTTATTAACTCATCAACTACTGTAAAGTAATTTCTTGCCAACAATCATATTAACTTGGGCAATCTGGAAAATATTGACAAAAATATTGATACATATTTTTTAAAACATCAACACTTTATTATATTATATTCGGAAGTGTTCCATTGAGTAGAATTAAAACATTTACTATGACAGTTACAAATTATTACATTATATCACTTAAAGATAGATGCGTACAGTACATTTTTGTATGGCGACTAAAAACGGCCAGGCGTACATTCTTAGAACTTGAGTGCCCAGTGGTAATGCTTGACCGTTATTTTATTTGTCGCTCGAAACTAACCCTTTGTCCGCCATTGTCAGATATAGACGATAAGCCAAATATACTGAGATAGACGTTCTCTAGCCGGCTATGCTCGGTATTGGTGAAAAAGCCTATTTTTCGTTTTTGGTCTATAGTCGACCGTAGCGGACAAAAGGTTAACTTCAATGTCAGCTATATTTTAGTCTTAGGATTATGGTATTATAGACACCACATTATAATTATTTTTTATCCTGTCAACCAAAGTCTGACAGCACAGGTAAAAATTTGAGATCTATCATAGATTCAACAGAACGCCTAATTTTTTAAAATAATATATGTATATTCTAAGTTAATTTAGGTAAACAATGCATTAACAATGTTTGGAATGTTAATAATTGAATTTAGTTTAAAAAATGTATAATGTCTAGGACGCAACCGTATCTCATGAATGTGATATAGTAAAATAGGCCTAATAATTTATATGTTGACGAATACCGTGAACCTTTGTTTCACCATTTCTTTATTTCAATATTTTCAATACATCGTGAAAATTCTTTAGCTTTTCATAGCTATGTGCCAAATACATTATCTCGTGACATTGAAACGTTAATTGTATGCTTTAAACTCTATTCAATAAAGATGATTTTGCTTTGTCACTAGACGAATAAGGGCAGTGCCCTAGTGGTGAAACAAAGGAATAACGTAACGTTTACATCTAATACTCGACCTTATACATTTTACAAATATTGTCAATTCACTTAAAATCGTTAACACGAATGTGAATGATTGCCACAATAAAAAATACTTTCATAAAATTAAATGTAAAATATTTGGCTAGACTTTGAATTCACTAGAATATTTGTTGTAAAAACATTATGTTTTTAGTCTTAGGTTGAGAGTATCCAAAATTTATTTCATAAACATTTTGCGGCTGATCTTAATTATCACATTACACTTACATAACTAATAAAATTAAATTATTTACACAATGGAATAAAAATATAGGTTTACTAGTCATCTGCTGTACGCTACCTTATTTGGCTTATTTTATTCTTAATTTATGAAAAGCTTGAAGATTGGCAAAAGCATATCATTTTTGGGATAACGATTAATTCAATATTGTTCATTTAGTTTTTTTGTTGTATAATATTAGTAATTTAAATCCCGTCCTATAATTAATGGACAATGAGCAACCGCTAACAATTTATAATAGTTTCGCTTATAATATTATGTCTTGTACAGCATACATTTAACCACAGTTTAAAGATTAAATATTTATCCTATTTACACATTCTTTAACAAATATAATTTTAATAAATATCAAAAATAAACAAACTTGTAATTCGCCGGCCTACCGATTACTATGTACTTACAATATGTACACAATTTGTCACGATCATCGAACGAGTTCAAAGTATAGGCCTAAATAATTTTAGAAAATGCTTGATAGCTTACTTTCAAAATCAAGTCTGGGACTTAACGAAAAAAAACAAAGAATATACTTTACAAAAAAAAATTAAAAAACAAAATGCATAAAGTTTATATAATAACACAGTTCAACAACTTTGTATATGAATTTTATTGTTAAAATGCAATGGAAGTTTGAGTTTTGTCACAAACCCCTTCCGACGCGGTAACCCTCCGTTTTAATATCGACATTACTCTTAAGTTACGCGGTACCCTTACGACTACTGTCACAGCACACGTTACCCTCATTCCACGAGTCTTTCCTACAAAACATCATAGTTTACGTTCCATTTATCGCAAAAATAGATAACGAATTAAATCAAAGATTGTGATACCATCCAAGTTTTGTTACTGAATTCGACATACAGCCAAATACACATAAGGTATATTATTCTGGTAATGTAAGTAACATAATTTACATACATAATCGTAAATATCTCAAATTCGGCTATACATGTAACGCGTTAACACGTAACAAAATACTCAATAAAACGCAAGCTCTAACGAGTCAGTGACGTCATCCAAACACTAGCTGCGTACGAGAAAACAGTCATCAGATACAAAGACGACAACGGAACTTGCAATATACAGGTACAGGTAACATTCAGATTGTAGGTATAATTCATAATACCTATTTAATAGAGTTGAAAGTCGAATGTGGTGGATCCGTCGCGCCAGGTGGGCTCGTCGGAGACCTTGGCGCGGCAGAGAGGGCACGTGTGCTCCCGGTCGAGCCAGGCGGAGATGCAGAGCTCGCAGAAGATATGGCTGCAGTCTAACCGCACCGGCGTCGTGTACTCGTCGTGGCAGATGGGGCACGCCTCGCCCGCCGCGCTCAGCTGCTCGCGGGACGGTTTTGTACCGAGGTCCTGTTCGAACATAATTTTATTACCTACTATGCAAATTTTAATTAACAAATGTCATACATAGTCAAAGGCAAAATCTAAATTTATTTATTTTGATAGTTTTGTCAGTCAGTTCGTCAGTGAAGCAAACACCCGGTTTCTGAAAGGCTTGTCAACGCTAAAATTAACGAATCTCCTGTTAAATCTTTTGTCAAGTCATCTGATTAGTTGTTGATAATTCAGTCAACCAATCAGATGACTTGACAAGAGATTAAATTGATTTTAACATTGATCGGCTTTTCGGAAACCGGGTGTAAGTCTAGCACCTGCTCATCGCTCACGCATCATCATTAACCTATAAGTGTCCACTGCTGAGCAAAGGCCTTTTCTCACACGGAGGTTTGACCATTAACCACAAAGCTTTCTCAAGGCGGATTTCAAACGTATAATTAAAAATTATAATTCCAAGTTACCCCACGTGTGAGTGGTGTCTAAAAAATCATAGAAAGTACACATAACTGGGAAAAGGTCACATTGGTACTTGCCAGGTTTCGATACCGCATCCTCATGCACGAGAAGCGGGCGACTTAACTCCAGGTCACCACAACTCGGTGCTAGGCATAGTTATTCCTTATTGATGATGTACTCACCACATTCTGCACCATCGACCAGGCTGCATTCTTGAACACCCGCAGCCTTATCGTCACCTCGATGATCTTGCAGATCACATAGATGGAGGTGAGGAACATGCCCATCAGCTTCTCAGAGTCATCGTAGGACTGCATCAAGTAGAATATCCACGGCTGGATCGTCAGCAGAGAGCGGTACAGCTGCGACACTGACTCCATGAACAGGAATACTCTACCCTGCAAACGTGAATAACCGATAAGCACACCTTTCTAATGGGAGAGCCACGCTTCGGCACAAGGGCGGAGAACGACCGGACTGATACTAAGGCCGCACCAAAAACCGGCGTGAAATAATCACGAAAATTTGTACCGCTGTCTCAGTCAGGCTACCGGAAGCCCAATCTTTACCCCTTCCATCTCCAATCACCTGTCTATCTTGAATACCTTAATCACCAAAAGACCGGCAACGTACTAAGAAGTTACGGTTGTCCATGGGAGGCTTTGATTGCTTACTGTCATATGCTGCTAGTTTGCCAGCCTATTCAGAAAAATTCATGTCAACTATTAAGTTTAGTTCCTCTTTTAGTAAATTATTCAACAAACTTACCCTTTTCTGGTACGGCAATATACTTGAAGGCAAAATGGTGACTACCATCTTAATGTTGACGGTAATGATCTTAACAATCAGGTCAGTTAGTATGATTAGCCACAGCAGCTCCCATATGTTCAGGTTGGAGTACGCTGGGAACATGACCACGTTGTAGAGTAGTTTCCCGTGGCCGAACAGGTAATGGACGATGGCGACGATACCGAGGGTGGTGAACATCTCGAGCAGACACGAGGACAGGCTGCGGTGCATCTGTTTCACGTTCTCCCTGCGACAATTAGTGTACAATTAGTATTCAAATTTGTATTAAGTGCGGGAGAGCCATGCTTAAGTGTGGGAGAGCCATGCTTAAGTGTGGGAGAGCCATTCTAAGTGTGGGAGAGCCATGCTTCGGCACGAATGGGTCGGCTCGACCGGAGTGATACCACGGCTTTACAGAAAAGCGGCGTGAAATAACCACAGCGTTGTGTTTCGCCGTGTGAGTGAGGTTACCGGAGGCCCAATCCTTTCCCTCCCCAATCCCTAATCCCTAAAAGGTCAGCAACGCACTCGTAACTCCTCCGTTGCGAGTGTCCATGGGCGGCGCTGATTGCTTACCATTAGGTAATCCGTCTGCTCGTTTGTCGACCTATTACACAAAAAAAAGCAGACGATGAATGTAGAGTAGACGATAAAGACTGCTCATTTGACATGACACGATAAGATAATAAGACAGCTTCATCTAGATTTTTATAAATTATGTAAAAAAGTGCCGTTGACAATGAAACACTTTTTTATTGCTAATCATTGTTTCAATAATGTGTATGATCCGCGTTCATTAGAATAGGAAAGAGCACGTTGTCACTACATCACACAGATCTCACAAAACCTAAAATCATAATTTAAGGATCACACAAAGAATATTATTCCGTATGAGAATACTTCCCCTGGCTGAGGCCCAATAAAAAAATCCTCTTTCCCTATCCCTCCCCAATCCTTGAATTCCCAAAACCCCTTATCCCCATAATGCCGGCAACGCACAGGCAACTGTTCTGGTGTTGCGGGTACCCATGCGATGCGCCAAATGCTTACCATCAGATTAATCCGCCTTTGTTTATAACATATAAAGAAAAAACCTTGACTTAAATATACAAAGAATTGGTAATTCGAAAGTTATGATCAAGTCACTATTAGGATAGGAGTCCCGTTGTAACTTGAAACTAGTAGAGCTTTTCTCAGTTAATTCACGTGAGAAAGTCGTTATGTATTTTCAATAGATCAACTCACCTTCTAATAATGCTATTGCAATGTGTGAACGTGACGAAAAGTATCAAGAACGTGAAGATGCCTTCCCGACAGTCGTACAAGAACTTAATGATCAGTATAAAGTAGAAGGGGGCGTAACGGATGAGGATGTTCAGCGTCGCACGCACATCTACCACCTGAAAGAAAACAACACATTGTTGGTGTTTTTTTATAAAACCTAGCCTTACACTAGGATTTTGTCCTGTGTCGTGGGTGCATTTACAAACAGACACATTCTATGGATCATACAAATAGTTATTCTATGCGGGAATCGAACCCGCGACACATTGCGCAGCTACCGCGCCAACCGTGCAGTCAAATTGGTATGGGTCAGAGAACCATCATCTGACTTAGTGCCTCAAGTTTGATAACACACTAAGCCACAAAATATCACATAATACAATGAGAAATTTAAATAACCATACATTTTTAAAAGTCAATATGATTAAATTATTTTGTTATATTATATGTAGTTATATTAAATTGTACAACTTTGCTTATTTGCTTTGTACAACATGTTGAATGTCATTGTTTCATCCAAACTGATAAAAGTAGTTTTTTTCATTCAGCAAGCTTATAAATTCTCAGAATTTGTTGATGATTGCATTCACACACAGAACCTGATTCTACAATAATTTATAACAACTTCCTTGTACCTTCAGTACTTCTTTATTTTAATACAATGAAGGAAATATAAAAACTGAGATTAATATTGATTAGGGCTGACTTTTTAATTGCTAGATAAAAGTTATCTGGGGAATAATTATGATGCTGTCACCTCAGAATTTTTGTATAAGACAGTGACAGCAACAATTTTATTCCTCAGATAACATATATGTGACTAATAAAAAATCAGTCCTTTGTAAAAAAAATGTGGTGCATATTAAAATAACGAGCTTATATTAGTAGATTAAGAGACTATTTTAAGGCATCACAAATTCCTTAGTAAATAGAAACCAACTATGCATTCATATCAGTACTTGGATAACACCAAACCATGCTTGGTATTTTTTTAACATTTACTGAAAATGAATAATAGTGTAATTGATTTATGCTCGTTACTAAATTTTATGAAAAGCAGAGGATATTTCCAAAGCTCTATAAGTACATGTATTTTCATAAAAATGTTGACAACTTCGCACAATCACATACAATCAATAATAAATATTAGGTATGAGTTTTGAATTCACTCAAACCTAAACACTATATTAAATGTATTTTAACCTTTAAGAGTCATAGTATAAAAAGGGTATAACACTCAATGTTATTCCCCTTTTCATGGATTAAATATACTGTAGAGAGTACTCTAAAGACATTAGTATAGCTATTACATTAGATGGTACTTCATAACCACGTCTAAAGTGACTTTGGTCTAATGTTTAGCCCCATTATATGAATAATAGCCATTCTTTTTAGTTATACAGTGAAACCTGGCTATGTGAGACATCAAGGGACCTGCAATGTCGTTTCACTTATAGAGGTATTCCACTTACCCAGTGTCTCAGATATACCATTCCAGGTTCTCATATATGCCATTAGGTTCCATTAATAGAGGTGAGAATACAGGTTATTTCAGTTATACAGGTATACAGTCAGTTATTCAGTGATACTTATTTACATACATAACACGTTATTTTATTTAATGTGATCATTAAATACAATAACGTGTTATGTATGTAAATAAGTTTTAATAAAAAAAAATAGTACTTAAAGGTAATCATAATCACAAACTTTTTCGCGTGTCTTCCCACTTTCATAAACGGTTCTTCAAACTTCAGTTTTTCACGACGATTGTAGCTTTCGTTTTGCCATTTTTCAAATAAACATCTGTATCATAGTAAAGCGAAACTAAAACTGAAGGTAATTGAAGCTCTAAATTTGTACTTACGTACTTGGAATTACGTGTGGAATTAGTGGGTAGAATAAGAATGAGTAAACAAACAATGTTATCTCAGTTACAGAGGTTTATGCATATAAAATTTACTCGCTGTCTCAGTTATAGAGGTAACTATGATGATAAATCAAAAGAACAAATCCCAGATATACAGGTTTGCCTCGTCCCACTAACAGAGGTAATTCAGTGCCAAATTGTTGGGACCTCAGCATGAGTTCCAGTTATGGAGGTTTCTCACTTATCCAGGTCCCACTTAACCAAGTTTCACTGTAATAGGACAATGTACAACAGCAAAATGTATAACAATTAATAAATATGATATGAAATGTTAACAATTAAAGATAAAGACAAATTAATGAGGGCACAAGTGGGAACAAATTTCAATGATCTTGATAATAGATTTTATACCACAAATATATATATAGATTAAAATTTAATTTATTTATTGTCACTATATTAAAATATTAAATCCACAACAAATACTGAAAAAAAAATGACTACTTCTGAAGTGTTCCAAGTTTTTTATATAATTTAAATTCTGTTACAACATATCTTTCTAATTCAATACAAGGAAATTTCAGTAAAACATAAAACATAAAATTATTTAAAAATGAATTCATCAAGCCCCAGGGAATTCACAGCCGGAATTCACACACATATTGTGTTTCTATTGTGTCTTGAATTACCAGGATTGAAAGGTTAACCAATTTCAATATACACTTATTTTTATTTTTGATATAAGATAAAGTTTTCAAGACAAATAAATAACTATGCTATTTGATGCAAAAAAAAATACCTATACAATTTCATTAAAAGTTGATAGAAAATTATATTGTATATAACTAGTTGGAAACTACCTACTTTTTTTGTTCTCTTTTACTAACTACTTTTGTTTAAATACATGCTACTATAGAGTAAGTATTGAGACATACCTGTGAGCCATCATCACTTTGACTCTCATTGTCAGCATTTTCATGAATATTGTTATTGTTGGCTGGGTTGACCGACACAATCTCTTGCTCTTGGTCTGGCTCAGACAAGCTGGATTCACTATTACTTATTATAATATCATGCTGGGGGCGATGTGTTACAGGACCACCTCGGTCATTTACTGCATATGTTTGTGCATTTGCTCCCAAGTTTACATGTGCTACTGAGCTAAGTGGTCTTGGAGTTGGGTCTACCGTGTAAGGTGGTGCTGGTATGGCCCTTGGCATCCAAATAGGCAGTGACAGTCGACTGGTTCTGGTTTGCTAAAAAGATATAGATTACACAATTAACAAAACGATATCATCATAATGCGAAACTCTAAGTACTTTTGTTTGTTACTATGAATCATTGCTATGAGTTAATGTTACGTACTATTCGTGCTTGTTCCACAATTGGTCTGATTTCCCTAATTACACTTTGTAACTGATCTCCTAGGCCCATGGGTCTTTCTCTAAACTGAGGCGCTTGTCTAGGACTTGGTTCTCCTGGCCCTCTATAGTTATGACGAGGCGCCATCTCCGCAGGTTCTTCGTCTTCTATATCAAGTGTAACGTGGTTTGGATGAGCCATCTTTTTTACTGTATGCTGGAAAAGTAGTTTTATTAGAGGTCCTATCTAACAGTAAATCTTATAATCTTCAATATTCTCATTTCCAAATATTTTGAGCTTTATCGTTCGAAGGTCACTATTTTGACATTTCCTTGTCTGACTGACAGACTGACTGACGTTTAGTAGTACCTACTACAAAAACGTTTGTGTTGACAAGTTTCGTTCTGAAATTTGTAAAAAAGATTGAGTTAAACTGGATAAAAAGTTTCTATTTGCATAATTTTACCAATTAATTTATGTAGAAGATGGGTGAAACGATTTGTATTGGCATCGATGACATTACATGTCGGTAAAAAAAATATGAATAATGGAGTTTAGGAAACCCACGGCCCACGGAAGATACTCTCAACAGTAAATAAATAGTACAAAACCAAAATGTTTTTTGTCCCTCTAATGAATAGTGAGTTGTATTCTGCACTCTATAAGATTACACAAGACATAACATATTACAATATACATGATACAAAAAAGAAATGACGGTAAAAACATTTCACAAACGTTGCCCATCAATAAATTGGTGGTTACGTATGTAATGTACGTAAGTAGTATGTTTAGCAAATAAGGGATAATGATTTCATGTTTGCTTGACGACACTGATGTAGTTTGAAGCCCTGTCACGCCCTGTCCTGCCCTGCCCGCACTGCCCTGACACGTCAGTGTGTGTAACGTCTGTTACTTTTAAGCGACGCTTGAGATTTATAGTGAGTATTGGTCAAGCGTCGCGCATTGAACTGGCTACTATTCGAAGAGTTGTAGTTTCAACAGAGTGCTTAGTGCGGCTTTACGTTAACGCAAATGAAACGTTACAACCCTCCGATTTGTAGATTATCATAAACGTGTCGATCGCCTTAATGTAAAACAAAACCACACTGCAGGTTCAGTCAAGTACCTATCCAAAAGTTCAAATACTCCAGCCACAAATACTCCAAATAACAAAATGTTGTTTCGTGCGGGAATGGAACCCGTTATAACCCGCTACTGTTGCACAGCAGCCAGTTGTCCAGCAACTATGCCTACCGTGCAGTCAATAATTTCCAATTCAGGTGGTCCTGATGGTAAGCAATCGGTGCCGTCCATGGACATCCGCAACACCAAAGGAGTAACGAGTGCGTTGCCGGCCTTTTGGTGATAAGGGCTTTGGATATTTAAGGATTTGGATATTTAAGAGACGGGGGCACCGGAAGGATTGGGCATCCAGTAACGTCACTTACACGACTGTTAAAAACAGTAAGTTGTTGTTGTCCTAATCAAAACTTTTCATCCATTGTTACAGCCTCACAGAGTACGTATGAGAATCGAACCCTTAATGTGCGGCTAGCCGGTCGTGATGTTTAAGGTACAATAAAAAAGAAACCATGATACTGTCAATAATTTATTTTGTCTTTAAATAATAGTCAATAGACCGCAATGAATTTCTAGCTTTTGATACGATGAGCAATTAACATCTACGGTAGATACGATACGTGGTGTACGCACGATGTAGATATACGTAAATTCAGTCTTTGTTTAGGCTTAACACCGCTGCCAGCGCGCGGCGCGTCTGGCGGTCCGTGGGACTCTCCGTCGAATCCGATCATTGTCAACTAAAGAGTATCTATGTTATTACACACATGATTCAATTGTTGTTTGTGCTTAAAATAATATTATAATTGAATATAACTAATATCATTGATATACTATGTAATTGGACTGAATCGTTAAATAATGAACCTTTGTTTTCCAACAAACACTAAGCACGATCTTGGCACACGTTTTAAAAGGTTTCACGATTCGTTATCAGGCCTCAGAGCGAGAACGCCTTGTGAATGTAGATCCCGGACAGCCTCCAGTAGTCGTCGCTCAGCTCTAGGCTCTCCCAATGCAACATCAACACTTCCCGCACACAATAACAATGCTCTGAGAGCCGCCCGCGGCCAATCTGGCCTCAAGCCCCGCCTCACTGTAACTCCGGCAGAAGCAGCACCCAACCTCGCACACTCGGCTTCCAATCGATCTCCGTACTCTTCTATTAAAGTATCTCCTACTGATCTTCTCAGCTCCGGCGTCAAAGATGACAGAAGTAACAATGCGACATCATCCATTGGTCTTCCTAAAGAAACCATTTGCCAATCTAGAGCAATGCATTCGCTCACACCTTCTCTTTCGCGAAACAGTAAATTACCACTCCAAAAATCTGCATGTGCAAGTGGTGCTGGCTCAGCAGGTCTCAACAGGGTTCCGAGTAAAGATGGCGCCCTAGCACTCAAAGCAGACACCGCAGCTGCTTCCTCGACACAGTCAGGGCGCCCTCGTAAAAATGCTTCGAGCTGTGGAAGTCCCCTCCGAACGAGGCGCAAGTATCCTGCAGCTGCTCTCTCGCAAGGAAATAGAAAGTCAAATCTTTGGTCTAACGGTCCTTCTCTATCGCGTAGTGCCAGAGAAAGCGCGTGTAGTCTTGCAGCCGCAAAAAGGGCAGATCGTGCACGTTCTTCAGTTAAACCTTCTGCAAAATCAGCCGCTTCGTATCCAACTGAAGTGACATCTTCTAATACAAGCTCACTGTCTCCACCGATCTCATCTGAAATTTTAAGGTGAACATTGTAAAACCAATATCGGAATTCTAACACAAAAGGGGTAGGTAGGTATGTAAGTACTGGTGCTATCAATGTATCATAGAAAATTTTCACATCGAACAAACTTTCCATGCTTCAGTTGAATAGCTCGACCTAATTGTCGAACCTATGAAAAATAAAGCCTAGAAATAGGTCACAAGTGAGGTGAGGAGGAAAGGGGGCGGGAATGTCGCATGTGACGCGCAAAGGTGAAAAGTCAAGTGGAGAGACACAATATCATAGAAAATCTAGGTCGGGATCTGACTGCAACTATAAATTATTTGTGCTTAGTTACTTCATACTTAGTCCTTGTTTCTAAATAGTTAATCATGATTATTCGAATAAAAAGAAATTACCAAACTAATAATGAAACAATTGTTTAGTATCTGGCTACACACATGTGAATAAATATCGTAATGTATGTAGTGATTCGAGACACTTCACCAGTTTACCAAGACCTTGAGAAGACAAAAATAAATTGCCTGAGTCAGTGACTGGAGATTCGATACGCGCATTGCATACAAATGACTGAAGAATATTAACCTAAGGCATCATATTGTGTGATAGGTACATGTGCGTAAATAAAGGCATGTCGGAAATAAATACTAACCAGGTAGTCTTGCTTTGACGCATCTGGGCACAGGTAAGCCAGATCCGGGTCCTAGGGCTTCTTCTGCTAGTTTGTTGAGAGCTGGTGCTAGCTCCGTGTAAAACAGGATCTCTCTGGTGTCGAACTGTGCCTCAGCAACAAACAACCGGCCGAATGGGTCTCGCGGAGGCAGTTTGACGACCAGAGGTAGAGCTCTGCGCTCACCATTGCTCTCGTAGCAGACTGTCACAGCCAGAACCCGGCTAAGGGCACCAGCAACTCCTGCCCGTGATTCCACATGTACCTAAGACATCAAGAAAATTTTATTGATTAAAGGCCATATGTTTCATATCTCTATAATCTGCTTTTAGTAAATAATCTGCTTTTATTAAATATTTTTTTTATTTCATTACCTTGATCCTAAAACTAAGTGTCTATACATAAAGTTTTAAATAATTAAATACGTAACTAGTGAGTGTGTTAATGAAACATTCTTATTTGTTTTTATGATTGCCGGTACGAATATTTTACTCGTACCTACTCATTATTATGCTCGATTGACAACAAAACATTTCAGACATTCTTTCATACGCTATATTTACATAATCTTCCTACGTTTCTACAAATGAATGATATGTATGAAATATTTTCATACTTATCTAAATTATTTTGTAGGCAAAGGTGTGATACAAAGAAATTTTAAATAATAAGGAAAGCAAACCTCATGCGGGTCGACCACGCCCGCCCCAGCTAGCAGCTCCCGAGCCCACTCCTCGGTGAGAGCGGCATCCGCATCGGTCTCCGGCCCAGGCTCGCAGTCGGAGTCCTCGCTGCCACTGCTAGGGGCTTCAGAAACCGCCGTACTATCCGGCCCCCCGGCCTGCATCTTGCGCACTGTACTCGCAGCACTCAACTAAGTGACAAATACTGTTTCTTTCTATCTATCTATAACAACGTGACTGTGCACATTTCTGTATTGAAAACGTCTGCTTGTATTAAAATCGAGGCGAAACATTCGAACGTGATATAAAAATTACTTCATACTGGGGTGCTGGTGTCGGTGCACTGAGCTCGAATAGATACGCTGCCTGGGGCTATGTCTCGATTTGCCGGCGTCTCGCGCATGCGTGTATCTACGAGTACCTCAATTATTCATCGGGACTCCCATAACGTGTCACCCACCGCCACAGCTCAATCATGAATCAAGCTATGCATATATTGCACGTTTTTATTTAGTAAAGAAAGTATTTGATTTGATTATATGCATTACATATTATTATAATACGACTTATATCTATGTATATGTATATGATTATATCCCATGTTAATAATTTAGGTATTACAATCTGTAGCCGATGTACATAGGCTATCCCAGCTTTACTAGGGGGTTATTTACTACATATTCTCTGATTTTCCCGATGAATTTCTACTTTTATTTATTACCTATACATGTATTGTATTTTTATCGGTTACCTCCATATATAATTTTTGTAAAAGTTTTATACAAATATAGAAGTAAACTTTGCAAGTCGTTTGGTATACATTTGTGCTGTATACTTACCACATACCTAATTACAAAAGGTAGGTACCTAAATACGTTAACATTGTTTTACTTAAAAAAAAAATTAAAAAGGTAATTCAACATTTTATGAGAGTAACGTAAGAGAGGCATCTAGTATCGTAAATCCGCTTCGTTACCAGCAGCAGAGCTTACCCATTTATTACACACTAAATTTTAAATTGTTTACATTATTGGATTTAAGTTCGTATTTATAATTTTACTCAGTTATTTTCGATGACAATCATAGGGCTTTAGTATCGAGAATAATAGATGCTTAAACAGCTTTAGGCGTTAGTAAGTAAATATGTACTTATGTAGGAATATAACCGGTTTTAGACAGTCAGAGATATATGTATTATTGCTGTGGCGTGGTGTAGGTATCGTGTCACGCCAGAAATATAGGTTCATACATTTACAATAAAAGACCTTAGAGAATAGAAAGTATGGTCGTCGAGACGAGCTTGCATAGATACATTTCTAGCTTGTCGTGTCGTGACATATCGCGTGCTGGGGCGTTCTACTGAGATACGACTCGCCACGCCGCCAAGTACATTTGGGTTTTTTATTCAAATCATGATTGCTGTAAACTTTTTGATATCGACCGCCTGTTATTGTACTTATTACAATACATTGTTTAATTTGTATCAAAGGTTTGAAAAGCGGTATCTCACCAGGGGTAAACATTTACAAAATATGAAGAATTATTAAAGTAAGCAATATCATCAAAACCTTCAAAGTTTGCATCCTGGTATTTAAAGAAATCGTCCTCAGACCCCAGCGCCGCTGTTGGTCTGGGGACGGCGAGAAGGATGGGTAGCTCGCCGCCGGACCAGAATCAAACCCAAATATATGGCCTCAGTCTGGACCAGGATAAGGAATGGGAAGTTTGGGAAGTTTTTAGCCAGTATGAGTCTGACACTCCCTATCGTCTAATTTTTGGATGAGAGAAGCCATATGATAATTTTGCTCATAAAAAGTTTTTTAAAGAAAACTATTTGCTTCTTTACTTTGATCATGAAATGTTTCCTACTTAAGGGTTTTCTATTCAAAGATTGGCACAACAAAATGTCTTAAATAATAGACATTTTGTTTGACATTGTCAGTTGTCACTGTCACATGTGTCATTCGTTAGAAATATTAGTCTCAATACTCTCAATTTTCATTTTGTTAGCGTAATTCAGTGCGACCCGGCGAGATTTAATTGCTTAGCAGAGCGTAAAATGCTAATAAAATAACTATAGATTTGTTCTAGGTACCTGCTCTTAAGGAAAACCTTACTATGGGAAAAGAAAAATCTAAGAAACGAAGGAGATCAAGTTGCTCAAGTTCTAGTAGTTCAGATTCTGATGCATCCAGAGAAAAAAAGAAACTGCGAAAATTGAAAAAGAAATTAAAAAAAGAAAAAAAGAAGACTGAAAGAGCATTGAAAAAGAAATTAAAGGAAGAAAAGAAAAGGCTTAAAAAGAAGCAGAGGAGTAAGAGTACAAGTCTCAGTCGTGATGATAGTAATGCGAAGGATGGGGCCGTCTCCACAGACATTCCTCTTGGTATGTGTATAACGAAAGGAAACTGCCAGCGAGACTTTAAGCCAGACTGTTATATTTATTATAGTATCAGTGATTACTTAAACAAAAGAACTACTTACAGCAAAACTTGAAATCTTATTGAGCTGGTTGTGTTCAACAAGATCTGTGCATAACAAGATTTTTGTTACAGAATTAATGGAAAAATCCAAAGCCATGGCCCCTATGACTAAAGAAGAATGGGAGAAAAGACAAAGTGTAGTAAGAAAAGTTCTAGATGAGGAGACAGGAAGATACAGGTTATCCTATCAATCTTATACTTTTACCCACAATAACTTTTACTACTCTTCAGTGATATTTCAGTGTCATATAGTATATACTAATCTACTTTTTAATTTCATAATGAATATTCCCTCAGTTGAGTCCTATTTTCAGGTTAATAAAAGGTGACGGAGAGGTGTTAGAAGAAATTGTGTCCCGAGACAGACATAAGCAGATTAACAGGCAGGCAACACAGGCTGACGGAGCATTCTTTCAGTTACAAACTGTTGACAAAAAAATGTTATAGAGATGATGCAGCTTGGGAGTTACTGACACATCTAGGACTCTTAATTTATAGATTGTTCACAACCCACCATTAGTAGATATATGCACCAGGATGTCTTTAAGATATGAGCTTCATATGACATGTATTTGTTCCTTTACATTTGATTAAACATTGAATTGAACCTCTTGCTTTGAAATGTTATTACCAACCTGTATCTACTTCTAAGGGGTTCTGAAATTAATGGATAAGTGGAGAAGAAACTACCTTGGACAAAACACATCTTGTTTTATTAGATAATATTTTGAATTTAGTCTTTCAGTTTGTGATTCCTGGTTCTGTGGTTCATGTTATTCCTGACATGGACATGTGAGCTGAATGACACATAGATAATTAAGAAATAATTGATGTGCTGCTGCTACACCTATAGATACTTATTTTATATTTTACAATTTGTGTTGATATTGTTGTTATAGGTGTCAATGCACCAACAATGCAGGATTTTCAGGGTCTAGTGGCAGGATGTTTAGCCTCAAGTGTGGTAGCATGAGTCAATAGAAAAAAATATTGTATCTTGCTCGGATCTCACTTCTACGTACTACAGGTTAATGAAAAGCACAGTAAAATAATCCAAGTTGTAATAAAATTTGTTTATTGATCTACCTAATAAAATAATTTATAGTTCATCTTTGGTCTTCGTGATGTCCTCATTGTTGGTTGTTCCTTGTTCAGAGCTTGTGTTTGTACCTTGAAGGTGTTCAGTGACTAGAGTTATTAGGCTTTCAAGAGAACGTCCTCCATGTTCTACATTCACAATCTTCTTTTCCTTGTATAGGATTAGGGTGGGGAGGCCACTGATCTAAAATATAAACAGGTAATGTGAGAATTGATAATAGCTACACACCCATAACTTGTAGTGGTAACTTGAGTGTAGAGTCATCTCAATATGTCTACAACATACTAATGTGATTAGATAAGAATGATAACAGTAAGGTAAACTAGAAGAATTTATGTAATATTCAAATTCGGCATGGCTTCTTACCTTTTCTGTTTCACAAATGGGTTTAGATTGCACACAATCAACATCTGCTATTATAACGCGAGTTTCGTTTTGAAACCTTTCACCCAACTTCAGCCACAGCGGGCTTAACTGCATACAGTGTGCACACCTGTGAAATTTGAAAATGCTTATATAGTACTTGAACACCTTATTTGAATTTTCAATTGAGCTTTTATTAATGATGTAAATTTTAGGTGAAAATAATTAATACATGGTATGTTCTAATTACAAATGCTGGATCCAAATAAGAAACTGACCAGGGAGCAAAATAGTTTATAAATACGAGTTCCTTTTCTAAAAATGTCTCAAATGTTTCTTCTGATATCCTAGCAACTGGCAGGGCTTTCTTTTTCTTTAAAAACTTTTCAGGGTCATGATTTTCTGTGAGCAACATTTTTTCTACATAGCCTTTAAGATCATCTATTGTTTCTGCTTCAGCTACTCCCATCTGCAATATCATATTTTCATTCAACATCATAATTAAATAAGTTATTTCTAGACACTAGAACTTCTAGAACATGATATAAATGAACTTACTATTCTACCATTGACAATCCACATTAGATAAGGATACTGTTTGATGTCAAAAGTCTTGCAAGTCATTTCATTGTCCATACAGTTAACTTTTCCTATCTGGATGTACTCATTATGTGCATATTGCACTGCTAGGTCAGCCCAAATTGGTGCTAATTTCTGAAAAAAGCAAAACAAACATTTTATTGATGGTATACCACAATTCAGTCACACAAATTACAATTTTTTACTCCTCCAGAAGACAAGTAGGACTTTTTTATCATAGAGTTGAATTATATACTAATTTGATTTTCTTATGTCAACAGGATTGTTTAAAATTCTTATAATACCAAATAGAAATTAGTAAGTTTATTACCTGAGATGCTTTACACCATGGTGCATAAAACATAATAAAATGCTGTCCCCGGGACACAAACTTCTCAATATTTTGATCATTTAAGTAGGCCATACCACTGTATTTTTTTACCTCTCTGGATTCTTTTTCTTGGTCCAAACCCTAAAAGTATTCAGTTGCATATTAAACTGAAAAACAAAATTTCCAGAAAAATATTTTATACTTGTTTAATATTTTACCTCTGATTTCATAGTAAATACTTCACTTAAAAATAATGTTAGGGAAGGCAAGTCCCTGGTACCCTTATATTCAACTGGCGAGAATGTGTTCTTATGGAAGTAAAGTAATGTTGGATATCCTGGAAAACAAAAACATTGATACTGTAATCTTAGAAATAACTACAACCAGTTTATAAATAGCAAAAAAATATTGACTTTTATTAGAAGATTGCAATGAATTCTTTTCCTATTTGGGTAATGTTTCTTAGGCCTTTATAAATGGCCAAAATATTACTAAGACCTTTTCAGATTATCGATAAGGTGAATGGTTTAAAAATATCATAAATCTTTTATGTACCTGTTATGTCGTTTTCGTTGCATAATTTAAAGTGTATTGTACAATCCACCTGGGCAATAGCAAATTTGGAATCTTTAGTATTGACAAGTTCTGCTAGCTCTGACCAGATTGGATGAAACTCAGTGCAGTGCCGGCACCTGAAATAATAATAAATTATTTTTCAACACCAACGCACAGAAGTTGAGACCGGTCATTTTCTAATGCAGCACAAATGCACAATATACTTACCAAGGTGCATAAAACATTATAAAATTGCCATCCATTTCTTCTATTTGAATTTTAAAATTGTTTGCATTGTATTCATACACTGAACTTTCTTCAAGTGCAACAAAATAAGGTAAAAATAGAAAATGTAGTATTACAAGTCTCCTTATCATTTTGGAATATGTCACCGTTTGGTAGATAATATATATTTGACTATTATATATTTATTGTTTTAGAAAAAAGTTAATAAATATTTTATAATACGTAATCATTGAGGACTAAATCATTGCAAAAATAATACTCAACCAAACACCAATCATCACTTCACAACAAATTGGATCGAGTGAACTAATTATTTACCAATTACCACAACCACAGATACCTGTAAACAGGTAATCGATATCACATCGTTTTTCATTCACTCCTTCCATAGACTAAATTTCTGTGACTATTTGAAATAGACTAAAATATCCCATTCACTATTCCTGCAATGATTTCTATTTTATTAAAATTAATGAATTAAAAATAAATATTCATTAAATGTTTGTAATTATTTGCTTTATCATAAAATAATTACAACTTACGTTGATTTAAATCAATAAATAATATTATTTTCCAAATTATACAGAGCATCGACAAACGTCACTATGCTGTAGCTTTTATGAACATACAAAAGAATGTGGTAATTCTTCAAAATGGTCGCTTTGTATGGTTTGCCAACTTGCATGTCTGTGTTTCAGAGTTCTTTGTTTTCGTAATTCTTTCGATATTATTTTATACAAGGCAAAGTTTATGCAAATTTGCAGTTGTTAAGTTTGGAAATGAACACTGACATTGTTATCATAAATTGTGGTGCCCAAGAAAGATGTCATCGGTAATGTGAGAGCTCTCCGATAGAATTTTATTTTACGAGATTATGACGTTTGTGATTCCAAATCTGATTTGCAGAAAGTGAAAAATTTCCTGGTAAATGTTTATTTTTTGTGTGTATTTCAAAAACAGTGTCTGTGATTAGTGAAGTCGAAACAAAGCTGACTCCTCTAATTTTGGCATTCCACAGTACTATGTCATGATTGATTCGTATTGAACATTCTTTTGGCTTGTTATGAACCAGCAGCTTTGACTGGAGCAATATTAATTTAGAATGCTATATAATAACGTTTTATTCGCACTACATATACATTTTGTTTACTATAGAAAGTTTAATGGTATATATTGTTATTCCAGTTGATAAAATTGTGTTCATGTCAAAAAGCACATAACAATCCAGTAAGAGTTCAGTTTTCTATGTATCATGGCAAAATCTACTTATAAGATGTTCATAACTATATTTATAATGTTATTCTTTTTCTTTTTCAGTGTAAAACTAAAGTTGTTCCAGCATTGGATATTCATATTATGTTAACACAAGCCAGAAATTGAGAAACAAAAACAAACTTGAAACCATCTGGGCTAGAAGTTCCTGGACAATATTTGAGTGTATAATAAATGCTATCGTGACTAGTGACTATGAGTGTGCTCAGAAGGTGGTGTGTACTTGTGTGATGGGAGGGGTGGGGTGAGAGGTGAGGCGCACGGGCGCGGGCGCGGGCGCCATGAACCCGCCGGCGCCCCGCCAGGCGGCCGCTCGCTCCGGCTATCATCAAAAGGCACTAGCCCAGATTCGCAACTCACTACTACCATTTGCTAACAATGGCAACTCTGAGCCACCTGGCTCGTCAGCAGCAAGCACTGTTAGTTCAGGTGTTAGCTCTGGCTTCAGCTCATCATCAGGGAATGGTCTTGATAAGGATTTGACTGCATTACCACAAACCTTAAACCAATTAATTGCTTTGGGATTTGATGAGGTAAGCATATATGTAATGTCTAGAACTTTAGTATTTGCAATATTTATTAGCAGTTGCTGATTTCAGTTACTTATGAATGATAAAGACATGGACACTTTGGACAGATTGGTAGAACCTAAAGGTTCCTTAACTTCTATTAAATAGATTCATATTAGAGAGATGATCACTGCCTTTGTCTCATAATTATGCCAGATATGGTACTGAATCTTTACTAGAATCTTTGTGCAATGAATTTTGCAAAGATGATCCCTACTAGTGTTCAGATAATGTTTGTTACTGGCTAGAATATCACATATATTCTCCCTCTGAAATATTGGCAAAGCCCTATGAGACTATTTGAATTCAAGTTGACTGAATGGTTATATTTATCAACATACCACATTGCTTTGATGTGCAAAGCAGTAAATATTACATTATTCTAACTATGTAAGTTAAGGAAGCAAGTTGAAGTAAGCTTCAAACACAGGAGTATGCTATGTTAAACAAGATATGACACCCCCTGCTGAAAAACCCAACTTTATGAGTTTGTTATTGTACATTGTGTGCATCTAACACAAATTATCATCACTCATTTTTTTCATTTGAAATGTCTAGGTGTTCTGCTTTACTTGTCAATTTTATAAATAATTATGTATATACTAGCTGTCTGGGCGAACTTATTACCGTTTAAAATATAACTATGTTCAACCTTTTAAATCTTCCCTGGACTTCGATGAATATTTTAAGACCAAAATTATCCAAAACAGACTAGCTGTTTGGGAGTTTTAGCGAGACCAATGAACAGCATTTAATTTTTTTATTTATATAAGAAAGAAGATTGTCCTAGAATAGTTAAAACTGTAATAGATTAGTTACTTTCTGTGTGTTTTTTCCTTAATTTCATACATTCCAGAATTGTACCTAATGTCAATAGGTTTCCCCTTTAATACATAAAGGCTGACTGGCTCACCTGGAGTGATACTGCTACCTTACAGAAAAAGGGCTTGAAACAATTCTTCCTCTTCCAACCCCCTCAACACCCCAATTCCCAAAAGGCCCTTTCTATAAAATATTTCAGATAAGGTACACCTCTGCTAATAAAAGGTGTGATGGTATTATTATTATGGAGCGAAATTTATTGTCATTTAATAAACGTTTCACCATTTCTAAACATTCAATGTGTATACACATTAAAAAACATTTAAATGGTCGAATTGCGCACCACCCTAATTTTTGGAAGTCGGTTAATACAAGAAGAAAATACTTATTTCGAATATTGAAAACTGAGTGGCAGAGCCATGCTCCGGGCCGACCGGATTGATACCACGGCAACACAAAAACCGATGTAAAGCAGCACTTACTTTCCTTTACTTATTTCCGTTTCGCCGTGAGAGTAAGGCCTCACATCCCCTATCCTTAAATCCCTATAAGCCTACAAGAGACCGGCAACGCACTAGTTGTAACTCCTTTGGTATAACTCCACGGGCGGCGTGATTACTTACCATCAGTTAATGCGTCTGCTCGTTTGTTTTTTTTTTATTTAAAATAAGGATTTAATAGAATACACTGGGAAAAGCTCTACTAGTTTCAAGTCACAACGATACTCTTATTCATAAGTAGCGAGCTAGTCGCGGCGACTTCGTGCTGTCTTCTGAGTCCCGTTGAATTCACGCGAGAGTTATAATTTATGTCTCACTATAGTTAATTTTTAAAAAAGGAATTTCTTATTGAACTTGTATTATAGGTATGTTTTATTGTGAGTAAATTGTTGTATATTTTTAATGTAACTTTTCTTTACAGGATCCTGCTGTAAGGGCATTGAAATATGCTGGAGGGCGATTTGATGCAGCATTAGATTACCTGTCAAAACAACAGGAATCTCATAATGGAGTCCTTAAGACAAGTAACTTAAATGCCTTAAACTCCAAACTTATACGAAAACCTAGTCTAGAGCGTGAAATTAACCTCCATAGAGGTAGTCCTGCACTTGATTCAGGCGCAGGGAGCTCTCGGTCTGACAGTCCTAGACAGTCGGATGCACCTCCACTGCCTCATGAGAAATTAAGTAGGCAATACTCGCCATCCGGTTTCTCTGAGCCGCCGCCACCGCCTCCTCCGCGATGTCCGTCCACGCCGCCAGTAATGCCATCCGTGCAGCAGCTCATGAAGCGCATGTCACCAGCGCCACCATTGCCACCCGCACGGGGGACCAGCCCCGTGGCAGCTGGCGCACCCACGCCGCCTGCCCGTCAGCCAATGATAGTGCAAAATGGCCCACAAGTCCAACAGCAGCTAACGCAGCAGATACAGGCCCTGAGTATTTATCAATCGTCAGGTGGTGGTGCAGAACTGCCCCCGCCATATCCGCTGTCGGGCGTACCACCTCCTCCTTCGTATTCGGTGTCAATGCAGAATCGTCAAAGTCCCACACAGTCACAGGACTATCGGAAGAGTCCATCGTCGGGAATATACTCGGGAGGCACCTCCGCCGGGTCGCCGAGTCCGATTACGGTGACGCAATCGACAGGCTCGGCGTCGGGGATGACTCGACCTACGCCTATTCAGGCGTGGACTGCGAGACAAGCGGTGCAACCTCCCATTATCATGCAATCTGTAAAAAGTACACAAGTTCAGAAACCGGTACTGCAGACTGCGATAGCGCCTGTTGCACCTCCTCCTGTCGCGAGCTCGGTCGCGCAGCCACCTCCACCCTCGTACGCTAGTTCTATTCAACAAAAGCAACAGGCGCAAACACCGCCAAGCTACCCGTTGGCCCCGAAGCCATCCTCGCCCGGGTCCACGCCCCCAGTCATACCGACAGCAACAACTCCCACCGTTCCCACTACAGAACCACCGAGCTATGCTATCACAATGCAAGCTCTAGCCGTGCAGAGAGGGATGCACCCTATTCCACCGCCGCCTTATGGCAATCAAAATGATAACACAACTACTGTCAATTCCCACCACTCACCTTTGCATAAGAAGTTCTCCAATACAGGTGAAGCCTCCCAGGTAGAAATTAAATGTCCAAATCAAAATTGCACGAACAATCTTCTAAAAGATAGTGTAGCCGCATCCAGCTCTGATAAAAGTTCGAACGGTTCAACGGAGCGTCGACCCAAGGGCTTAGAAAAGATAAGACATCAATCGCCTATTCCAGAAAGGAAAAATATTAGTAAAGAAAAAGAAGACGAACGGAGAGATTGCAAAGTTAGAAATTATTCACCTCAAGCTTTTAAATTCTTCATGGAACAGCACGTCGAAAACATTTTAAAGTCGTATAAGCAACGAACGTTTAGGCGAATGCAGTTGGAGAAAGAAATGACTAAAATAGGTCTCAGTGCAGAAGCACAATGTCAAATGAGGAAGATGTTATCTCAGAAAGAATCCAACTACATTAGATTAAAGAGAGCAAAGATGGACAAGTCAATGTTCACAAAAATTAAGCCTATCGGAGTAGGCGCGTTTGGAGAAGTGACGTTAGTAAGAAAGATTGATACTAGTCATCTATATGCCATGAAGACACTTCGCAAAGCTGACGTGCTGAAGCGGAACCAGGTGGCGCACGTTAAAGCTGAGAGGGATATATTAGCGGAGGCCGATAACGAATGGGTCGTTAAACTTTATTACAGCTTCCAAGATAAAGATAATTTGTATTTTGTGATGGACTATATACCTGGCGGTGATCTGATGTCTTTGTTAATAAAGCTGGGTATATTCGAAGAGAGTCTCGCCAGGTTCTATATCGCGGAGTTGACGTGCGCGGTGGAAAGTGTCCATAAGATGGGCTTTATCCACAGGGACATCAAACCCGATAATATTTTAATAGATCGCGATGGCCATATTAAGTTGACAGATTTTGGTTTATGTACGGGCTTTAGGTGGACGCACAACTCTAAATACTATCAGAGAAATGGTGAGCTTATTTTCCATACTATATAGAAATTTATTAAACACTGAAAGTATTAATGTTTAATTTCATAATAATTAGCTCCTCTATAGAAAATACTTAATAATTTTTATTCAAGTAGTTTTTTATTTTAAATGCTTGTTACCTGTTAGTAATAATGCATACCTACTTGTTCAGATCACGGACGACAAGACTCGATGGATCCAGTGGATGGAGAGTGGGGTGCCATGGGCGAGTGTAGGTGTCATCAGCTAAAACCTTTGGAAAGGCGACGCAAGCGCGAGCACCAGCGATGTCTGGCGCACTCGCTAGTCGGCACGCCCAACTACATCGCACCCGAAGTACTGCAGCGCACCGGGTACACGCAGCTGTGCGACTGGTGGTCGGTCGGTGTCATCCTTTACGAAATGTTAGTCGGATCACCACCCTTTCTAGCCTCTACGCCTGCCGAAACGCAACTCAAGGTCAGCTATGAAATTATTATATTATACAAATGTTTTTTCCCCATCATATAATAAGTGAACAAAATCTTTATTTGCCTAATTTATTTTTCTTTATTTCACAGGTTATAAACTGGGAAAGTACCCTTCATATCCCTGATGCAGCAAAATTATCTCCAGAGAGTAAGGATCTAATCCTACAGCTATGTTCTGGTCAGGAAACGAGGCTCGGCAAAGATGCAAATGAGGTAAAGAACCACCCGTTCCTACATGGCATCGACTTCGACAAGGGACTGCGGAGGCAAGTGGCACCGTACATACCTCGGATCGACTATGCGACCGATACTTCCAATTTCGATCCAGTGGATCCGGATAAGCTCCGCAACTCTGGTAGCTCCGACTCCAACAAATCGGACAGCGAGCTGCTTGACAACGGTAAGACGTTCCACGGATTCTTCGAGTTCACGTTCCGGAGGTTCTTCGATGACGGTTATACGAACAAAATAAACCTCGACGACAACGATAACCAGGGACCCGTGTACGTATAGAACGAGCGCCGCGACAGTGATAAGAGACACTGAGACTAACTTGTAGGATTTTTTTACAAAGTGTGTGCCTTTGACTCTCTCTATTAAAACATTAGTTTTGTAAACGTAACGAATATAACGTATTTAAAATTAATTAAAAGCCGTATTGTTAATAATCCCGGTGATAATGTTGTAATATTGTATCGTTATGTATTTGTAAGAGTAATCTTATTTCACTGTAATATATGTAACGAATGGATCACAGTAGTGCATAGCCTAACTATGGTGCTGTTAGCGACCGGCGGCCGCAGCAAAGTGCGGTGCGCGTCGTAATATCTAATGTCCATTCAGTGTATACTATTTTTTGTAACTAGAGAAATTATTTATGAGATAAGAACAAGCTTACTGGAATTAGTGAATGATTGTCACTATATTTTCTTATGTATTTATCGAGGTAGGTCGCTTATGTGTGTTTGTTTATATACGTGTAAAACGTTTACTTATGATTCATTAACGTCATACAAGCATAATTAGTAAAACATACTGTGCTTCCATTTTGTCTACAGGACACTAGCTCATAATGTGTGCCTTAGAGTTTCGATATTAACATTTTTACAAGTGTATTGTGATGGGTCAATCGATTGTACACTACAACATAGTAGATAAAGTTTTATAACTCGACATATGTACTGAGTGCAATACATATTTATTTATGAGACAAAAGTCGATACTTCATTTGCTGTTGTTGAAGTTTTACTTCGGTTTATTTAGTAAAGCACATTTTGAGTCGAATTTTTGTGTTAAAATATGCAAGATTTTGTAACTACCATTAAACTAACAATATCCAGTATAGTCGCAAAGTAAATAACATTAAAGTAATGAGAACAAAAGGCGTGTCAACCGCCCTACGATAACATAACTGCTTGTTTGGTTGTTATAAGAAAAACACAATTTTTTCACTTGTACAGAATATGAGTCAGTTCAATTTAAATTATGTGTTATTGAATGTAAATTGTTTTATTCTGAAATGAATCATGCTTATAAGTGAATGAAAATAAAGTATGGGAATTTTTGTTATTTTTTACTTTAAAATCCATATCCAAAATATATCCAGGAAAAACAACTAAGAAACAATATTATATAGGTAATTCATAAAATAATTCAAAATATATAGGTAAGTGTCTGTTCAATTGTAAGTATCTTCTTGATATATCTTTTAGACATCATATTTTTCATTACTGTATGTTATGGTTTTAATAAAAATTCTTGCACTCTTTGGTTAAAATCTTCAGCATATTTCAAGTGTATATGATGCTTGCCTTCTGGGTACAGATGTATCCTAAAACAAGAGAATATTTAACTTCTATTGTATTTTTCACAAAGAGTGTTATATGATCTTATATGATTTTGAACTAACCTTGAACCATCAATGTGGGTATGTAGGTGTGATGCATGCACACTGTCCACAAGAGGGTCTTTTTGACCATACAGGATGAATGTAGGGCATTTTATATTTTTAAGGAGTTCTGCACAGATGTTGCCATCCTTCGTTTTGTATAAAGCCTCCATTCCATCTACCCATTGAGCCCAATATTTGGCAAATAATTCCTCCCCATATATTTCAACTAAAGGCTCCCTCATCCTTTTTGACCAGGAATTGATATCTCTAATTTCTGCAGAGAATAAAATAATCACAGACATGCTTTTGAGTGCATATTATAAAAAAGAGTATTGTATGTATTTCTAATCTTATCTTTAGTAAAAATTTACATTATAGAGCTAATATTATAATCTAAAATATCAAACTTACTTTTGTACATTTCCAGTTCATTGGGTAAGATGAAAGAATTGGTACCCCAGACCACTAGTTTATTAACAGCATCTGGGTACTTGGCAGCATGGATCAAACTGGTGATTCCACCATCACTGAATCCCAATAGAGAGTACTTTGGAATCTTCAAGGCCTTGAAACATAATATTTATCATAAGACATGCCAACACAACTGATATTCAATATAAGGGATTAACTTACTAACATATATTACTTACTACTATATATTACCTTCATAAATTCATAAGCAGCATCTGCATCTCTATCATAGAAATCAGTACTAAATACTTTTTCAGGAGGTCTACTCTTGCCATAGCCTGGTGGGTCCCAAACCACTAATGTGAATTTATCTCTGTTGAATCCCTCTATTTGAGGCTTTCCCTCAGTCCATATTGTTCCCAGCGCTCCAGGCAAAAATAAGGCATGATGAGCTCCATTACCAACTTTTACATAGTTAATAACACCATCCTTGATTTTGATTTTCTCTTCCTGCCATTAAAATTAAGTAGGTAGGTTCACATAATAATATGTATTCTGATATTTATAATAATGTGATTATAATACTGGGAAAATGATAGAATATGTTATAAGCAATTTTAAATAGTCCAGGGTCCAAAGATTTGAATATATTTACAAAATATCAGAGTTTAGCAATTTGGACAGTAAGATTATAATGAATATTTTATTATAACTAACCTTAGCAACTGCAGACGTAGAAAGAGTCCGGCAAACAGTTTTACATAAATAAGATACCGGTGAAATAATTTTCTTCGCTGTTATTAACATTTTAACCTCGTTCGATCACAGTTTTCTCAATTTATCGGCAAACGGATGAAACTATTTTTAGTTTTTTATCTGTTTGCTACGCTAGTAGATTTAAAGGTACCTACATTATTTTATAGCTGTCTTATCAGAACAAATGAACAATAATACATAATTTAATTCACCTTTAATTTCTTTGAAAGCCAATTATCAATGTTTATTATGATAACACGTTGATAACAGTACGAGTTTTCGGTTGTTGACAGCAGGACAAAGTTATCTAACTCGTTATAGCTAAAAGGAGATAGATATAGCGAGTGTTGCTAGTTTTCAATTCCTTTTCATCTTTCCTTCGTTATCGTTTATATTATTTTGATTTAATTTCATAATTATAATGGTATGGTGTGTCATTCGAAATTTAAATTACATTATATTCACAGCAATAATTAAAGTCAAATAATAAGCTATAGATAAGTATGAAATCTGGTCATTGTATATCTATCTGATCTAAATCAAATCTATTTTGTAATAAAACTAACTTTATTATAAAACATGGCATTCATTTTTCTAAATTCGTCAATTGTTTAATAGTTGTAATTTTCATTAGTTTAGTAGTACTTATTTTGTTTTCAAAGCATCTGAACATTTTTGTCAGTGGTGGATAAGTGAAAACCTCGAGTAATAATTGAGTACGAGTAGGTAACGTCGGCACAAAGCGACACAAGCGGCACGCAACATCAATAATGTTTACGGAACGAACGCACAATCCGTACTCTATAAGTTTGCCTGCTTCTTTGAAAATGTTGTCGATTAGATACTGAAGCTGTGTAATTACGATCTGCCTTTTTTAATTGAGCAATTCTCAATTATTAAATTACTTTTTTGGCCTATGGTTAGAGGAAGTGTCAGACTCTTGATGATCGAAAACTCCATTCCCTCTTGGTCCAGGTCGAGGCCACGGTAGGTACTTTATTGTGTTTGCCCCGCAACCCCGGCTGAACATGTCCACCACATCTAATGGCCTCTAAAGTGCTGTCTAAATAATCATAGAAAGTCCATATAACTCGGATAAAGTCGCATTGGTACTTGCCAGGTTTCGAACCCACACCCTCATGCATGAGAAGCGAGCGCATTAACCTCTGGCTGGGCCAACACCACCTTCATGGATTAATTTGACTAAAGGTTACAGCTCATTAGAGCCACCCACTCCGCACGGACTTGTCTCCTACGTTTAGATATCTATATATATAAAAGAAAGTCGTGTTAGTTACTCCACTTATAACTCAAGAAAGGCTGAACCGATTTAGCTGAAAATTGGCAGGGAGGTAGTTTAGAGCCAGGAGAAGGACATAGGATTGGAGTAGGGTAGGTAGAGTAGGGTTGGTAGAGTAGGGTCGGCAGAGTAGGGTAGGTAGAGTAGTCAGAGTAGTGTAGGTAGAGTAGGGTAGGTAGAGTAGGGTAGGTAGAGTAGGGTAGGTAGAGTAGGGTAGGTAGAGTAGGGTAGGTAGAGTAGGGTAGGTAGAGTAGGGTAGGTAGAGTAGGGTAGGTAGAGTAGGGTAGGTAGAGTAGGGTAGGTAGAGTAGGGTAGGTAGAGTAGGGTAGGTAGAGTAGGGTAGGTAGAGTAGGGTAGGTAGAGTAGGGTAGGTAGAGTAGGGTAGGTAGAGTAGGGTAGGTAGAGTAGGGTAGGTAGAGTAGGGTAGGTAGAGTAGGGTAGGTAGAGTAGGGTAGGTAGAGTAGGGTAGGTAGAGTAGGGTAGGTAGAGTAGGGTAGGTAGAGTAGGGTAGGTAGAGTAGGGTAGGTAGAGTAGGGTAGGTAGAGTAGGGTAGGTAGAGTAGAGTAGGTAAAATCGGGTAGGTAATGTAGGGTAGGTATTCAAATGACGAGAGCGACGCCGCGGGTAAGAGCTAGTTATTTATATGGTCTGTGTTATGGTATGGGCATGCGCTCACTACATACTTCGTAGCGGCGTCAGATCGCCTCAGTTTTAAGCTTCGGCGCGTGAAGCGCGGACGGCGGTGGACAACTCGGTGACACCTCGCTGCTCCAATTCTTGCTTTGCATTGGCGGGCTACCGGCTAACGTCGCCTATCCCGAGCGGACCGCACTTTGCTCCTTGTTTTTGCCCTATTGCCAATATGAACACACTACCTTCTCAAAAATTCGTGGACCAAGCGGCGTGCACTCGTTGACATGACAGCGTAGGGTCCACTGGTTGGCCGCAGGACATTTATTGGTTAAAACGCAACGTCCACTCGTCACTACCGAGTGAGTTGTACCGTGCGTGCAGGGTGAGAGCCGGATGGCTCTAATGAGCTGCGATCGTAATAGAATTTCATAGGTGTAAGGACCTTCGGGCACGCTGTTATAGCAGCGGTAAGACTCATCTTTGAGGAGTGGCTTGAGAGACGCCACGGCGTCCTTACCTTCCGCCTGACGGGGCCCTATAGGGGTGATGATGAACAGGGGGGTTTTTAGTCAGTAAGAGTCTGACACTCCCTCTCGTCCGGCCTTGGGCGGAAGAAGTCATTTGATGATTTTCCCCTCACAAAAAAAGGGCTGATGTTCAGCTGGGGTTGCGGGGAAAGCGAAATAAGGCACCGCGACCTCGGCCCAGAGCAGGATAAGGAACGGAGGGGTTTTTAGTCAGTAAGATTCTGACACTCTCGTTTTACCCCGGGTGGGAGAAGTCATTAGATGATTTACTACTGACAAAAAAAATATGTATTGACTTAATATTATTATTTTAGGTAATTCAAACTTGCCTAGCCCTGCTTCGCAAGTGTCCAAGAATCCCATTTTAGCGTCCGTCATTTGTTTAGTAAGCCAACTACCAAGGCATTAAAAGATTTTTTGAAATTTTCTGGTACACACATAATTATAGGTCTTTGTTTTCAAAGTTTATAAGTCTCTTCCTGACCTTAAGAAATAGCAAAAAATAATTAATTATAGGAATCGGTCTAGCCGTTGCCATGACCTAAGGAAATTGAGGACATTTTTATTTACTTCTAAAGAATAAAGGTTATCTTGCAGATATAATTTATTATCTCTTTCTATTGATGGTAAGCAGTGATGCAATCTTTGATGGTAAGGCGCACAGGTAGTCATTGTTATTATCAACGGGGAGTTCAACAAAAAATAATACGAAATAATAGTATTAAAATTTTATTATCAGTGTGACGCCCAAGACGCCCTAGCAAATAAACTAGTATTTATTGTTAAAAGCAAAGACGGTTCCTTAAATTAAATTAATCTTCCATTGACGCAAAATGTTGTGACGGTGTTTAACCCTGCAGATACACACGACATAACATAAACTGACCATATACAATCTAATGATTGCTATAAAGTAATACTTGAATAACCAAACTTCGGTTAGTTTTTCACTGAATGTGTTAACCAAAGGCTCTGAAGAGTTAATATAGCTGTACTAGATCTCAACAGCCCTCTTGATGTAAGAAGATGCATAAGAAATTAAAATTATATTGTTTCATAACATACCAAGTACAATTTAATAAAGGCTTATGAGACATTGTTCTGTGACATGTTAGTTATAACACACTTCAATGCACCTCTCAATAGTACATCGACATACATGCATCTCAAGCTTTCTATTATATTATGTCAAAGATTGATCTCAGCACATTTGAACTATTCGTAATATAGTAAAAATATGTATTTTTTGGGATGATAATTGCAAATTCGAAAAATACCATTAGCACCACAGTGGCTCCACTAGGAACAATTCATTCTAGGCAGTGCTAACTATACACAAGACAGGAATTTAGTGGCAAAAGATGTACGCACGTAGACAGACAGGCCCTTCATGATGTAATATATATTCAGTCAAGTGCAGTACTGAGATCGCCGTGGAGCTTACTCCTAACATAACATCACAATATGAGAATTAAATTACATAAATGTTACGTTAGTTGCAAGTGTTGCTTAGTGACTTATTTATTATAGTTCTCCGGCGTGGCATGCATCTTCGTAGCTCTTGCCCTTTTGTTCGGGATCCAATTTGATCATGTCGTCGATACGGAGGATTGTGATTGCAGCTTCTGTAGCGAACTTGAGAGATTTCACCTTGGAAATGGCTGGCTCCAGGACTCCTGCAGCTAAGTTATCACGTAACACACCTTCTGTCAGGTCCAGTCCTACCCACTTGAGGTTGGCATGTTCGACCTGAAAAGATTACAAACATGTTTACCTAAAAAACAAGAACATTCAGCAGTCACAGTACTAGTTTCATGTAAAAAAACATACCTTAGTTTGTGATGAGTTGTGATAGGCGCGCAGCTTAGCGACAAGGTCGGTAGCATCTCGCGCGGCATTAACGGCTAGCGTCTTCGGGATGACAAGCAGTGACTGCGCGAATGCGGCAATCGCTAACTGCTCGCGAGAGCTCTGTAAGGTGTAATATTATTTTTTTAGTTTTTATTTTAGCTACTAAGGAAACGATTGATATGGATTTTTGAAAAGTTATATGTATGTACCAGTGTAGTGGCGAAGTTCTCTAAGTAGATGGAAAGCGCAGCCTCGACGGCGCCGCCGCCGGGTACAAGACGACCTGACTCCAGCACGCGGCGCACTGCGCACAGCGCGTCGTGGGCGGAGCGCTCCATCTCGTCACAGTAGGCGTCAGTAGGTCCTCGGAGGATAATTGAAGCAGCAGTGCGAGCAGCTGGGCTGAGGAGAGAATATACACACAGGTTGTTTCAAACTGAGATCGATTGAATGATATTGGATTTAGATTAGATTTAGATTCTTACCCCTTAATAAGAATAAGTTGGTCATCACAGATTTGCTCCTGTACAACTTCAGCAGCTTCTCCAATCATGCTGGGCTCAAATACTTCTTCACCCTCCATGTTTGTGAGAGAAGTCAGGAAGGCAGCTCCAGTCGCCTTTGCGATCCGTTTGAGATCAGCTTTCTTGCACCTTCTCACTCCCATGGCACCATGCTCAACGAAGTATTTAAGGCACAGATCATCAATACCGCCTGAGCACAATATCACGTTAACGCCAGTCGCAAGAATCTTCTGCAAACGTTCTTTGGTGATGTCCAGCTCACGAGCGCGGATGGCTTCTAGCTTCTCGGGGTCAGTAACCAGGACCTGAAGTTTATAATTAGAATTTGAGTTATCAACTATTGCAGATATTTTTATAAATATTAATTTGATTAATTTGAGGTAATAATTAATTTAAAAAAATAATTAATTAATTAAGTGAGGTAGTAAACTGTTATACTCAATTGGATATGAATGAATTGTACCTGAACTCCAAGCTTCATCTTAGTCTTCTGCAGAGAGAAGTCGAGGCATGCAATTTTTGCATTTACAATCTTCTTGGGCATGGCTTGGGAGGCGACGGTGCAGTTGAGGGCGTATCCTTTTACAAGGACACTCTCCCGGGCGCTGCGTCCATGGGCTTTCAAGATGTTGATGGCCTTGATTGGGTACGACGGGTTACCTTTGTAATCTGTAACTTTAATAGCTTGTGCGGCATCCACTACCATTTCAGAGAAGAAATCTGCATCACTGAAGTATGGATGTTAAGGAAACATTAAAACAATCACGGTTACTAGTCTAGTATTGTAATTAATGATTCATTACAATAATAATTTAGATCAATTCAATCAACATCATTTTTTGTACTCATTTTAGAAATGATTTAAAAAAAAACAACACTTTGATTTGTATAAAATGTTTGAGGAGGTGAAACTTATCATGAAAATGATTGAAAAGGATACGCTCCAATAAGTTTTGAGGACATCGTGGTCTTAGCAGCATTCACAATAGAGGCCCTTCCGAGAGACTCCACAGTGACTGTAAGGTTGTCCTGCACGTATTTGACGGCCTCCTTGCATGCCAGTCGGTAACCAGAGATAATGCTTGTGGGGTGAATCTTGTTCTTCACTAGCTCATCAGCACTCTAAAATAATAATAATTCTATCATCGCCAAATAGCAATACAGTGAAGCCTGGTTAATTATACATCAAGTAATCTGGTAAGTCCCGAATTTGTTACATGCAATGTACTTTCACATATATTTCAATTACCCAGTATATTAGATACTCAGGTATAAATTAATATCTGTGTAATTTGGTCAAAGTTATCTATACTAATATATTATTATAAAGAGTTTGTAAGTTTGTATGTAGGGGGTAATCTTTGTACCTGCTGGTTGGATTTCCAAAATTATTCCACAAATTGATAGGCTACAATGTTTCCTAGTGCTATATAGGTTATAAAACATCATGCTATAATCAAATGGAGTTGAGCAGCGGGTGAAACCGCGAGGGAGTAGCTTGTTTCAGTTAAAAATGTGTCATCAAAATAAAATAATGTGCACAAAAAATTAGTTCTAATAAAAGAGTTACATAAACATGCAAATGTAAGAAAAAAAAAAAGTTTTTCGTTATTACTTATTGTTGTTACAATGTACTTTCACAGAATTATATTATAATTCTTAAATTCTTATCAAATAGTATCCTGATTGACATTTAAAAATTGCAAAGTTTATGGTGCCTTTACTGCTTCGTGTTTTATTTTATAATGTTATCTCAGTTCACAGATATCAAACATATATTATAAAATTTACTAATTGGCTTAGTAATTGAGGTAACTGATTTTGAAAGTCTTAATTGAAAGCACAAATTCTAGATATAGAGGTTTATCTCATCCTACTAACAGGGTAATTCAGTGTGGAAGTACAGGATTTCATGCCAAGAGGACCTTAGCATGAAATCAGGTTTGTCAGGTCAACTATTTAACCAAGTTTCACTATATTATAATTATGTTTAGTCATATGCAGGAAGGAGAATTAGAGCATAATTTATAAAATTCATTACATATTTCTGTATTGCTATGGTAACTTAATAACAAAAAAAATAATTAATAAATAGGATATATTTCAATTGCATATTTAACATAAACTTAAAAACACAGTAATAGTTGTAATAATGGTATACCTTCAGTAGTTCTGCAGCAATGATTACAACTGATGTGGTACCATCTCCAACTTCTTCGTCCTGTAGCTGTGCCAGCTCTACCAGTACTTTGGCAGCAGGGTGTTCCACTTCTAACATCCTAAATCAGACATAACAATAAATCCATTTATAATGCAAGTTAATATTTATCGCTTGTAAGTTGCTATGCTAAATTCTTTACTAAGTATTTATGGTACTATGTAAATTAGAATTTTGATTCAAATTCAAGAATTATAATTGTCAAAATTAAGTACATCAATATTTTTTTGGGTTTGGAAGGAAACTTCTTAATGTGTAAATATGTATTTTATGAAACAGATTTTTTTTATATGGACTTACTTGAGAATAGTAGCTCCATCATTAGTGACAGTCACATCTCCAATGTCATCTACCAACATTTTATCCAGGCCCACAGGGCCCAGTGAACTCTTCACTATGTTGGCTATAGCTGCTGCTGCCATCACTGTGAATCATTCCACCATAATGAGCGTTTTCATTGTCTCCCACTCAATTTTACTTAGGTTATAACAAAAATATAACTTAAAGTACTCAAACTCAAGTGTAAATACAAGTTTACAAGGTTTATAAGCAGATAAAAAACGGTTTTGAGTTAAGTTATCTTTCATTTTCGAGATATTGACTAAAATGTAACCATAAGTCGCGATGCATGTGATCTGCCGGAGCACAAAAACCTCATGTGAATCAACGTAAAATAACATATAAACTGTACCATTTTGAGTTCTGACTGACGCCCCTGATGTTCTGGTCCCTGCGACGGACAAAGCTGTTGCAACTGTCGACATTTTTAATGGAAATTCAACACAAAAATCATAAAATAATCGCCCGTCACACTTTTTTGATTCTGGAAGAATACAAAGTTGCCAACTGCAAAAAACCAATGACAAATGACAATTCGTTCTAAATTGCCAGTATGAAATATGACGAACAAAATAATATTCTTGTAACAACTGGAAAATGTGAACTATTTTAATTAACTAAAGTTAAGTCCATATAGATTTGAATGATTACTGTTCTATTTATTTTGTATTTGTAGAATTTCAATCACTATTTACGAGTACATTCTCAATATTATATTATTATCATTATCATTCAAGTTTTCAGAGAAAACGTAACAATCGTTGACTGACTGGGACTAGACGATGACCGTATTTTTAGTGCCGAGATTAAGAAATCGGTATTTATAAAATAATATGGTTTACGTAATTTCAGTTTTTATAAGAATTTTGTTCGTCATTTTTCTAATTGGAATTGAGGTTTTTTTTGATGGAGGACAATAAAGTGCCTATTTTATTACGCCCGAGGTGAGGCGAGACGGAATGACTCTTATTGACTAAAAACTAACCACCCTCTTATATTATCATTATTGTGCTTGCAGCTGCAACTCCGATCTGATAAAATTTGGAAATTGCCAGTCTACTTTGAGTGAGCGTGGTGGTTAATGCTCATACCTTCTCCAGGTGATGAAGTCTTTGCATTTATCATCTTTAGTCTGTAACTCTCCTTCTACATGATTGTGAGTATTACAGGCTGAAGGTGGTAATGAACCAAAATGATTAATTTTTAGCTCGTTTTGTGTTTGGGCTCAGGCTCTATCACACGTAAGTGAATTTCCACGAAGTAAATGACAAATAAATTCATAGTTTAGTAATAATATTATGAATTAAAAAAGAAAGAAAATCTACACGATATTTTTTATCACAAGGATAACGAAAACTTAAGGAAAGACACAGATTTACGAGTTAAAAAAATATGAGTTAACTTTCATAGGGCACGCGGCGCAGACCTGACATTTGATACATTTATCACGTACGATTCAGTAAAAGGGTACATCTAGGGTTACGTGACTAGAACGGGACGGGACGACCTCCGCGGGAATTGGGAAAAGCACTCGTGATAGGTACTACGTGACGAAGTTCTCGCGTGCTTAAAATAACTTCCCAATATCTGTAGCAAATTGGGGATTGCATGTCCCATGGTTATATTTGCTTTTGATTAGAAAACAAGTTTCACAGGTGAAGAATTTTGGAGCGTAAATTGTTTTAATAAAGGATGTAATAATTTAAAACACAGAGGACTGTAACTTCTTATTGAATTAGTTTTTTTTTTACGTTAACACGGTCTAAACCTTAAAAACTTTGTTAGAGGGAGCTGCTTTTTTATGGGATAGCTCCGCAAACGAGCAGACGGATTACCTGATGGTAAGCAACCGGCGCCGCCAAAAGACACCCGCAACACCAAAGGAGTTACAAGTGCGTTGCCGGCTTTTGTAGATAAGGGTTTAGATATTTAAGGATTGGGAAGTGATGGGGTATGGGAAGGGATTGGGCCTCCGGTAATCTCACTCGCACGGCGATACACAACGCTGTTGTTGTTTCAGTTGTGACAGTTTTCTGTGAGGCCCTACTGGTATCATTCCGGTCGAGCCGGCCTATTCGTGCCGAAGCTTGGTTCTCCCACACTTAAAAAAAACGAACGGTGCCAGGTATTTGTTAAATATGATGTCCCTTGGTTGGCTCGGCTATGGGTTGGTGACAAACTTAGTCCACTCTACTGAGATGAACCTTATTACATGATAGAAATTTTAATACGACCTGATCAAATAATCAAAGACAGATCCCTGAGATCAGCAATGCGCTTGTGGAGTGTGATCACGACCCGTTTCGACCTTCGTCAGCGGGTGGGCGCATTAAATTAACGGACTCCGAGAATAGATGCCATAATTAGTTTTCCGACGTGATACTATTTACAAACTATTTTAAACAACTACATAGTACATACCAATTTGATTGATTGATGTCGGTTAAACTAAGAATTGGTTGCTAGGTTAAATTTATGTTATGAAATCTTCTTACATAAAGAAGCGGATTTTGTATACTATTGAAATAAGTATAGCATTCAAAATTCCTAACTGACTGTCCAACATTGAAAAGTGCCTAATAAAACTTTTTCCCAATCCGGTAATGGAACCAGAAATTACTCGCAGCACTGCCCATTCCTTTGAGAAGCAAAAGGCTTACTGTTATACAACATATTATCTTAATTTATTTATTTTATTTTATTTTACCAATAACATTTTTTAATGTTATATTTTTTTCACCATCGAAAATAGTAAAGTAGCACCCGCTTGATAAACTGCTACGCCGTAGTAATTTTGCTACGACAGCTACGAGCGAAACGAGTTATCGTAGACGGTTTAAAAAGTGGTGTTTTTTACGTGGATTTAAGCCACGTCAAGTGTGACCTTGAAAGTTCTCTATTTCGTAGTAGTAAGGGTGACTTTCATAGTGAAAATACTAGATTGGGTCTATGTAATTTCTTATTCACTCTCTAATTATGTTTAATACATTAAACAATATTGCTAAATTAAAAGCAATAATAATATCATTAAGTATTAATTGATCGAATAGTATTATTTCCAACATTTGGTACTGTTAGAATAACTGATAAAGCCGAATTCTTTAACTATCACATTCCTCTACATTGCATAAAGTCAGTTTAGAGTTTTTTTTGTCTGTAAAGAGGTTGTTTACGTTTCAGCCGGCTTTCAAATCCGCACGATGTCCATTGCAATTCATGTCAAGCGACGTGAATAAAAGCTGACAATATCTCAGAGAACTTTAGTCGACGTTCATTGGAATGCTCCGCAGCGCGTACTGTATCTATACGAGAGAATAATCTCGTTTTCTGCGGCTTTTAACGAAAGCCCGATACGGAGTCGCAGAGCAAAACAAATAGCGGGTAGCTGTGCACATGCGCCGGGAGCACGCACGCACGCGCTTCCGAGCGTCGCGGCGGCAGTCGCGCGCCGCCCGTCGCCGCGTCCGCACCCCGTGCGAACTGTCTCTACCGCGCTCCCACCACGCGCTAAATGGCGCCCAAACGGGGACCTCGCTCTCGCGGGTAAGTTACTTACATCATTATATCTTTTTATAAAGGAAATAGTATTCGACCTTGAGATGACAAGTGGTCCATGACGCAGCATCCGCGAGGATCTCCGAGGGCGTGGTAGGGCATCGACTGGGGAGGGGGCACGGAGTCGGCGTGTTGGCGATAGCGCGCCGCCTGATAACGTTGCAGCCCTCCCACTGTCAACAAACCCTTACATTATATAAAACATTGGACATTTATAAATGACCGTAAAAACGAGTGGTAGCGGAGAGTCATCTCGAAGACGTGTATCTATTGATTTTCGCTTCGCGTTCCGGAGACTCTGCGGCTGTAGTTGCCTGAGACACAATTAGATATATTGTCGCAGCCTCTTTAACATTCGACTGCGGAACTTATTGCTTGACAAGTGAATTAGCGGCTCTTGTCACCGCCACTTCCGAGATACACGGCGGATTCGAACTATTACTCATGTCAACGTGCTCTTAGCAGATAGATTTCATACTCCCGAATAAGCGAATTATAATTTCAAAGCACGTATCGCATCTTTAGTGGGTAATGCTGCATAATACCTCATGTAAACAGTAATTTACATAACCTTGAGCTTCCTTACTGAGAGTGGTATATGGACGAGTATGTATAATTAGTTGTAGTTTTCCTCGAATTCTAATGTTTTAGCGATAAATAATTTGGTCATAGCGGTATTTCTGCGCAGAATATGCCTGTTTTATTACATAGAAGGCTTTTGACATGACAGAGTGTGATTTTATAGATACATAAACCTATACCTAAACCCTCTTATATCGATAAAGAATGAATTACGAAATGGAGTAGTTATTGGGTGTAAGTACCTAAAAAAGAAAAGAGTTGGGAATGTAATACACAAAATATATATTTCACAAAAACATAAGGAGGAAATAATATAATAATACTAGAATTGTACTAATTTATGGGCAGAAAGTACCACGTTCCCCTCAATACTTGTGAATTGGAATGAGAACAAGATGAAGATGATATATGACTGTTTATTTGGTCTATAAAAGTAACCGATGGTTATTTACGACATGCTAAAGTGGGACATATTGGTTACAAGGTTAAAGTACACTTTAACGAACAAAGTTTTGGGGTTTCTACTTTAGACATTAAGCATTGTGATATGGCTGAATGTGCGATTGGTAGTTTGCAGAAATATAAAATAGATATACTAACTTCTGTCAGCGGCTTAGCTTGCAGTACCAAGGTAAAAGGTATGTCATTTCAGTCTATTATCTATGTCATGCCATATAAGAAACATTACTCTATCCATGCAAACATACAAGGTTTTAAAAAGTATATTACTTAGTACACATCTACATTTAAATTCTAAATTATTTGATTTTCGAACTAGCTCAAAGATAACGCGGACAAAAAAAAATGAACATCAAAGAAGGAAAGTACTTACCGGCTAGAGATATGAATTTTATTCGGACACGAATTCGAGAACAAATTTAACGAAAATTCTGGTTTCATAAAGAAATTCTTAGGATTGTTTGCTAAAAGTTATCTATATAATTTGGAGCTCGCGACGTTGTCTAGAGGAGCCGAGGAGTTATGTAGAAGTACGAAGGTACGTAGGTAGTGGAGCTTGGTGAAGGAATTCCGAACTCCTGTACTAAAGTGTCTACAGTGCAATGTTGTATCGCCGTCAAAGGCATGCCGAGTATTTCAACAGATGGTACAATGTATGTGGCTTGGTACATGATATACTCATCGTCTAATTATGTATATTATTTTAAGCTATGCTATTTATGTAGCTAACGAAGATTAAATTTTTAATATACACATATGTATGTCACTATGTGTTGGTGTGAGGTATCTGAACTGTTTTATTGCTAGTTATGTTGTCATAAGGGGGAAATGACAATCGAATATTATTTATTCATTTATTACTTTATGCACAAAAACATTGTAGGTACGCTAGGCGGACTTAATACTTTGAGCATTCGCTACCAGTATACCTTTGGGTGTTGCAGAGACAATCCAGTTGTTGAT